CCACCATATATCTTTGAGCAGAATGGCAGGATATAAATGATCTTAAACAAATAATTGGTTTTAGAAAGCATTTCAGGGCACAAGGAGGAAGGTCAAAGGCCTATAACTTGTTTGTAAGAGCAATGGTGTTGTTTCTATATAGTATCAAAAATAACAGCTTACTCTAACATCTGTATGTAAGATTGACTTACAACAGGATGATATGTATTCATTGGGAAAGAAACTTGATTTTTAACTCTGGTCCTGCCCAATTCATACATTACTTGGCTATTCACACCTAGTCACTGCTGAGTACGCACATAATGCTTGAGTCCAGCGCATAAGTTACTGAGTGGCAGCAAACACTGTATTTCTAAATGAGAAATACCCAACAGTCATGGCTATTGCGGCCAAACAACACCTATGATCATTCTGTTCTTATATTTATTTGAGAATTGCTAGAATAATTCACAAAGGATTTTGAGTCATATACGCAATGCCTAAAGCAGCCCTATATCACTTCATAAATTTAATTACCATAGGTAGGAACATTTGAGACTGACATTCAGAGCCATTGGTTTAGAATGTCACCTAACAATGTGAACTGCTTTCATGTCTCATCAGGGCTGAGAAGACAAATTGTACTATGGTCCCCTAGATGTTATTGATTTGGATGCTCTTATGTCACTACAGAGTATGATGACCTATGGTTAAATTTAGCTGAATGCTAAGGCATTGAGAGATTTTAGAATTAGAATGCTAAAGCCAATTAGCAACTTTTGAAAAACTGCTTAGGTCTTGCTTACATAAAGAAGGGGAGAACCCTGGGTATGTAGATATTACAAATTGATGTACAGTTTCAGGATTTTTAAGACATTTGCTGCAGACAGACCGCTTATGGTAAGCAATGAAAAAGCCTGGAAGACGCAATACCTTTGACAAGCAGAGTTTGATTCCTGCTTCTTCAGATCTAACGTAGTATGTTACTCTGTGAAACAGGCTTTCCTTCTAAATAATAATAAATGCACAAATTCCTTTCAGAGAGGTGAAGCATGTGCTGTGTTGCCAGATCAAGCAGAGTAACAGGATCCCCCTAGAGATTGCCCTACTAGTCTAAGGCTGGAGACTCAGCTATTTCATATTCTATCTCCTAAGTGACAAACATATTTAGACAGATCTGATTTAGCAGAAAAGATGAATAAGAACCCTTCAAAAGACTGATAATTTTATTGAATGAATGAGGTTTTTCTCCTGTCCCTTCTTCCACAACTTTGCTTTGTCTGCCACGTGACAAATGAATGAAGTAGCCTAGCTTTATTCCATGCACTGGATTGGGTAAGATTATCTGACATTAAGGTGTCCTCGACTGTAGGGTCAAGTTGAGAGCCTTCCAAATGTTGGCCAGAAGCCATGAACAGGTTTAGGGCACATAAAGATCTGTGCAAGATATTTAGCACATTAGAGAAACTTGCTGAATAAGCATTAATCAAACATTGAAACGCAAGGTATATAGCTGCTTTGAACTAATATATAAAGAATAAAAGATACATATTTTTTACTATAAACAAAAATAAACACACAGTTCAGATTATGTCCTAAACCACTTGATGGCTTGTAGGCACTGAGCAAAACATAAGAAACCTTGATAGCAATACAGTGGTACCTCGGGTTACAGACGCTTCAGGTTACAGATGCTTCAGGTTACAGACTCCACTAACCCAGAAATAGTACCTTGGGTTAAGAACTTTGCTTCAGGATGAGAACAGAAATCGTGCTCCGGCGACGCGGTGGCAGCAGGAGACCCTGTTAACTAAAGTGGTACCTCAGGTTAATAACAGTTTCAGGTTAAGAACAGACCTCCAGAATGAATTAAGTTCTTAACCTGAAGTACCACTGTACCAGGAAAGGGCCTAGAACTGATAATTAAACTATCAGTCTGTGAACACTCAGAAAAGGATGCTGTGATTACTAAGACCCTATTTTTCAGCAGCTGGCTCTAAGCTTTAAGGATCTGCTAGTTAGGAATCAAATGACCAAATATTCTTCTCCATACCTAAACTGATGACTAATGACATAGTTCATGGCATGTAAAAGGGAACATCTTTATTTATACTTCTGGGCTGCTGGAATTCTCTTTGGCCAAGACACAAAATGCTTTGGTGTGTGGCTATAGACTTTGATGAGTAAATCACCACAAGAATCAAAACCACAGTGTGCATGTGCGAAATCAATATTGTTTGATCATCACAATCTGGAAGAGCAGGACATATCAGACTTCCCATGGTAAGCACAAGGTTTTCAGGGTGGGCTATCTCTTTAATTCTGTTATGCCATACTCCCTAAGGCAGGCATTTTGTGTTAGGTCACCCATCCCCCATAGCAGTTGTTTTGTGACTGGAGCCTCCAGCGCTCCCTCAAAATTCAAAATGTGCCCACTGGTCCAAAAAGGCTTGGCAACCCATACTATAGAATGGTAGGAAAGAGCAAAAATAAAATGTAAGGATCTTGACTTGAAGAAGACATTTTTGCAGTAAATAATCTTGTAAATATAATCACTTAAGAGCAATTATTTTTGCAGGAATCGAGTTCAACCTTGAATGTTCACTACTGTACTTAAAACTCTTTGCCAAAGCTGAAACAACACAGCCAGTTAAATAATGAATGGAATCATACTTTCATCAACACCAGCAATTCAGTTATAAAGGTCACATACTGAACACTTCAGTCCAAGTAAGCACATACCAGCCTAAATCCCAATCACAAACAATTAGATAATTACTTCTGGCAAGATTATTTTTTAAAAACCTGCTGAGAAAGAGGACATTTTAATGGGATTTCACAACGGTATTGGATTTCCAATTTCAGTGCCAACTTTTTCCAGTGATCAGAATACGTACTGAGGCAGCGATGATGGCATCATGATTAGTCCTTGCCCATCTTCAGATACTTAAATTACTATCTTTGGCCATTCTGCTGTCAATTTAGGCTGATGTATATTTATTTTACATGCATGTTTATTTAAGAAAACTAGCAAATGTCTAGATTCATCACATCTGCTTCAATTTTCCTACTATATTATAGAGGAAAACCATGCTCTTAACCCTCTTACGGGCAGACAGATGTATGTAACATTCTTCCAGTGTTTTCTTTTTCTTATGGAAAGTTAATGGGAGACTGTGTGTTTGAGGGCTCATTCACACTGAAGTTTAATGTAGATTTGAAGTTGCTTCTGTGTCTATATTTTTGGCATCCACACAATACTGTACTCTCATCCAAGTGGCAGCCTGCATTCCCACCCCCCACCCCCCAAAAAAATTAAATTTGGATTGTCCTGATCTGCAGATAATCTGCTAAGGGAAGAAAACACTATATATAATTGCATGTTACCCAACTGTGGGTGCATTGTGCGGACAGGTTATTTTACATGTGTGTTCACATGCTGGGTTCTACCTATCATCACACACCCTACTTCCATTTTGTTTCCATCAGCCCAAAGGAAAGAATTCAGCTTGGCAATCTGGTATACTGAAAAACTTGTGGGTTAAAAAAATGCTTTAAAAGTGCATGTGTGCAGATAAACAAATGCATGTGCGCATTCCGACAATGGACCTCAGGTTTCCAGAAAGGGAAGTGCTAACTGAGGAGAGGAGACAACACCACACCACACAGCATGAATACGTACCACAAAGCACCACCTACTAATGTGGACGGAGAAACAATGAGATAGATTTCAGAGGCATAAAACTGAAAATGTTCGTGTGTGGATGAAGGTGTACAAATGCACACATAGAAACATCAAATCACATATAAATTTGTAAACCACTTTGAAATTTTCCTTTTTGTGTTTTTTACAATCAACCAGTGTATAAATTTTATGAAATAAAATAAATAGATAAAAGTAACTCCCTCATGTGAGGACAGCCTGAGCTGAGGAACTGTGAGAGGAGGAGCTAATGAAACCATTTCCCTCCAGCCATTATTCCAATCAAAACCAAGGCCCCATTTCACCCATGGGGGTGGAAATATATACATTTTCATCCTGCATTGAAAAGAAGCTGGGGGGAAGGGTGATGGCTGAAGGGGAAAGGGTTAAGCAGCTCTTTCCAAGCTTCTAAGCCTTCTTCAAAATCCCTGCAGCAAACTGCTGCATGTCTCTGCCTGTGTAATATCTAGGCTGGCCCTCAGAAGACCCATAGAAGAGACAAATACCATACCTTTGTGGGAAGACTGTAAAGTGTAAAAAATTACATCTAAGAATAGCAAATTATTCCAGCAAAGAAATACTGTGGTACCTCTGGTTGCGAATGGGATCCGTTCCGGAGGCCCGTTCGCAACATGAAAAGAGCGTAACCCGCAGCGGCGCGTCTTCACTTGCGATTCGCCGCTTCTGCGCATGCGCGAGTGGCGAAACCCGGAAGTAACCCTTTCTGGTACTTCCAGGTCGCCGCAGGACATAACCTGAAAGAACGTAACATGAAGAGGACGTAACATGAGGTATGACTGTACATATGATGATACATCACAGAACCTGCTCCTGCTCCAACTGAAGCCAATGGAGTGTTTGTCACTGAACTGAATGAAAAAGGAGTAAACATTTCCTTGCAACTGAGCAAAATTTTGTGTTTTACCCTACCCTCGACTGTAGGTTTCATATCCAAGGCGGTAGGCTTCAGCTTTCTTATTGACCAACTCAGATCCGTGATGGTAGGCTTCCGCTTTCTTACTTATCAATTCAGATCCTAGACTGAGGGCTGAAGATCTTTTACTGTGAGCTGCTGATTCATGGGCATAGGATTCTGCCAATTCATGGCTAGATGCTGCAGACTGCTGGCCATGGTGGTAGGCCAATGCAGCTTCCTTACTATAGGCGGTAGATCCATGAGTGTAGATGGCAGATTTGCGCTTCTCCTCCCTTTGGTACTGACTTAGAGTGGACTCCAGCTCCTTGTGGCGATATGCACGATCAAAATGTTGATGATGCCTCTGGTAGAATGGTAAAGACATCCTGGATTTCTCTTAGCTCAGCCCACACTTTTGATGTTCTGTAAAAGCAACAACAAAAAACCACAAGTTAAATAGCATGTATGACTATGCCATTATGGTGGGGTTTTTTAATGTCATAAGCTGCCTTGAACATGGTTTTAACTATGGAAAGTCAGCATACAAATAAATTCATGTATGTATGTAAAGGTAGAGGTAACAGACCCCTGGATGGTTAGGTCCAGGCAAAGGTGACTATGAGGTGCGGCACTCATCTTGCTTCAGGCCGAAGGAGTCGGCGTTTGTCCACAGACAGCTTTCCGGGTCATGTGGCCAGAATGACTAAACCACTTCTGGCGCAACAAAACACCGTGACGGAAGCCAGAGCACATGGAAATGCTGTCTGCCTATGTGTGTATGTATGTATGACATGCTCAATAATTTTTCAGTGATCATAATTAATCCATCAAAGATAGATTCAGATAAATACTGAAGAGAAGATTGTGGGTGGTATTCAACTATGTCTTACTCAGAGTAGACCCTTGAAATTAATCAACTTGACTAAGTAAGGTCCATTTAGTTCAATGTAACTATTGTAATTAAAACTTAGTTGAATACCACCCTGTGTCATGTTTATGCTTCACTAGGCTCATCTACCTGCAAGCAAAATATGATGAATAGTAGTTACAGCATGTATGAGTATTTAAGTGTATGAATAAGAAACTTTCACAAGGACATAAGTCAAAAAGTGCACACAAAATCCATTTTAACATTCCATTTATATAAGAAGAACATCATTCATCTGAAGTTAAGAAGAACATTTATGTCCACACAGTTGTAGATTTTGAGTTTTATAACTTTCTATGAAAATTTGAAACACTTGTAGAAAAAAGTAAAATATTAGTTTCATCCCATGTGGCAATTCCTAGGAAAAACACAAAATGCTCTTTAAAAGCATCTGGTTACTCCTGTAGCACTTTGGTACAGGAATCTTTTGTCTAACTCTTCTAGAATTAAAATAAATTTTGTGTATTTTTCTTTTCTATTTCTTTTCTGTTTTTTAAAAATCTAACTTTCAAATCACATTTTCAGTATTGTGATTTCAACATTACGTTCCAGATTCTGCATTCCAAAATCATCTTCTTGTGACCATCTCACAAAGTTACATTTAGAGATACCCAAGATGCAAAACTGCAGAGTAGAGTCAATAATCCAAATACATCCATTTGCAAACCAGTTATTCTGAACCTTAGCACTGACAATTAAATGTGTGAATCCAAATTATAATTCCAGTATATATAACATAACTCATACAGTGCTTATTATTTCATGCTCTGCACTGTATGTGTGTCTGTTTCCTTCACTATTTATATATGCATTGTTTGCATAACTGCAGTCTGTCTTATCTTAGTATAATTAATAGGCTGTATCAAGGGCCCATGGTTCAACCCAAGGTTTCCAACACTGAAGATCTACCAACATAATTATGACTTTGTTCAAGATCCACTTGTTGACGCCCACCATCAGTACACACACACAGCCTTAAGCCTCTTCTGCTGCAGTTTCCCGAGCACCTGCTGTTAGCGGCTCAGTGATTAAATGACAAGGCTTCTTCAATCTTCAGTTTGAAAATTATTATTCATTTTGTGACTGGCCATTAGTTTTATCTTAGGCTTTGGAAATGCTAGATTCTGTGTGCGTGGTAATTCTTAGTGCACACATTTACAGAGGCATGTGCAGTAAAAATACCTAATTTGTCAATAATTTAACAACTATGATTAACTTTTTATATGTTAATGTAGGGCTAAATAAATGCACATTAACAGGAGCAGTATCATGATGGCAGACTTCTCACTGGCCTATGCATGTTCATTAAAGCATGTGTAGAAAGTGGCCACACATACTTGTGCCACACAGCTGTTTGCAAAAGGATTCCATTGAACATTATAATGAATACATTGCACATAGGTTGGTGCATTGTGTTGGTATTCCCCTCTAACAAGGGCTGTAATATTTTAAAAATACTATGGGAATCTTGAAACACATAGAGAATCTAATCACTTGAACTGTTTTCATCTGAAGACATTCTGAAATAACTATCACACACAAGCAGAAAGCATTTTAGAAGAGAACTGTTACACAACCAAACTTTCTAGTGGCACCCTTAACTCATGTTTCATTTGAAAAGTACTTTAGAGGTATGTTACAATAGGTGAGCTGCTAAATATTTTGCATTACTTTGTTTTTTCTTGAAGCTTCACTCTTAAGATTTCTCCAATCTGCTGTTGAATCCATAATAGAAGAAAATAGAGAGATAATACTTGTCCACATTTATAACATACAGAACACATTTGTTTGACAAATAATGTCTCTGGACATTGCATACTTACCAGTAGTCCAATTAAGAATGATAGAATTTCAGTCTTGTACAAGGATGAATGAGAAGAAGAGAGAAATCCAGCAAAAGTTTGATCCCTCAGAGTGGCTGACAGGACCAGGGTTGAGGGACCCTCAGGTCCAGAACAAAAATAATGACTGTAGTCAGTGGAATGTGAAAGCAACACTCCCAACCTTTTATGGCTGGAAAGGCTGTTAAATATAGCAGCAGCAAAGAGGGGGAGAGAGACAGAGTGCTATCCCTCCGCAAATATATGACAGCAGCTTCAAGCTACAAGTCTTCCCTCTCTCAAGCCTAACAAAATTGAGTCCTAAGGCCTTCTGCCAGCTCCTAAATGATGTCAACATGGTTGTGCAACTGACATTCATTGGTTTAAGTAATGAAGGAAAATCTGTTGCTCCATAAACCTAATTTAAAAATAAGTTGCCACTGTACTGACAGAAGCCAGAGTTACAGTAGTGTGACATTAATAAGGACTCCTGAATGTTCTTGTGCCCAGTTCCATCACAGGATGCTATTAACACAAGTGTTGATATATCTGCTGTGAACTGAATTTAGCCAAGGTAATTTGGAAGTGTGAAGGTACCGTAATTAGGAAAGCTGAACTGTGGGTTTCATGGGGGGGGGGGATTCTGTGATTTCTTAACAAGTTGTCAGATTTTATAATCTGATAGAATCATAGAATTGTAGAGTTAGAAGGGACTCTGAGGTTCATCTAGTCCAACCCCTTGCAATGCAGGAATTTCAACCAAAGCGTCCTTGACGGAGGGCCATCAGCCTCTGCTTAAAAACCTCCAAGAAAGGAAAGTCCACCACCTCTCATGAGAGTCTGTTCCACTGCAAAACAGCTCTTACTGTCAGAAAGTTCTCCTGATGTTTAGTCAGGATCTCCTTTCTTGTAATTTGAACCCATTGGTTCAGGTTCTAGCCTCTGGAGCAGGAGAAACCAAGCTTGCTCCAACCTCCATGTGACAGCATGGATATTTAGATATTTGAATATGGTTTTTCATTTCCTAAAAGAATACCTGCTGGTTGAAAACAGAATGTGTATCTTCTCTCACAAAGCCATCACTGGTCTCAAGCAAAAGGTTGAAGATACTGATTTGGTTGAAGAGTGCATGAAAGGAGTGGATACCACGCTTAACCTGGCAGGTTTGGGAAATGAGACAGGTTTTGTCCATATTTGAATTAGGTCTGAATCCATGTTTATTGCTTTGAACTTCCCCTCACCAATCCACACAGGAGTGTATTTGTTGTTGTATTTAGAACGAATCAGCCCTGTATATCCATATTGGCAGCCATTCCCATTGCTATTTAGATTCCTGCTGAGTTTGCTTGTTAATTGTCTCATCAGTTACAGTTGGCTGCCCCATTCCACTTTTTATGTTAGTTTCTTCAGGTGGCATTGTCAACATATGGACAGATAACTTTTTTTTAATTTAAAAAAACTGATCTGGTTTGTGTGGAATACTCATTTAAGGGAAAATATATTCTTTGTTCCCCTAAATTACTCTGTGCACAAATTAGATCAGTTTTTCCTTCCTGCCTTGCTGCTGCAAAACTAAACCTTTTTGAATCTGTGGGTGCCTGTGGCAGGGCAGGGGTTAGATAATAATACAAGTTGGGGAGTCAGTGGGGCTGAGGAGCCCTTTCAAGTTCAGGAATTGGCATGGTGGTGGGAGTAGGTGGTTGCTTTGTTGTGTCTTTATCTACCATGACTTCTGCCAAATGATTATCACCTTCTCCCTACGTGCAAGCAATCAAGACCCCCCATTCAGGCTTGAACAAGGAAAGCAGCTGGGAGAGAGAAGGTAGCAGTGGAGAGCAAGGAGAGAGGTCCAGGTCAGGTGCTATATGAAAGCAGAGCGATCCTGCTTTCCTTCTCTAAAGGGCCCCAAAGAGAACACAGGCAGTGGGTACTTTGGTGTATTAGGCTATTCCTGTGGCAGAACAAAAACCTCATAGGTTACGCCTCCTTGAATCTTTTTTCTCTTCCCTCTGTTGTTGTTGTTTAGTCGTTTAGTCATGTCTGACTCTTCATGACCCCATGGACCTGAGCACGCCAGGCACTCCTGTCTTCCACTGCCTCCCGCAGTTTGGTCAAACTCATGCTGGTAGCTTCGAGAACACTGGCCAGCCATCTTGTCCTCTGTCATCCCCTTCTCCTTGTGCCCTCCATCTCTCCCAACACCAGGGTCTTTTCCAGGAAGTCTTCTCTTCTCATGAGGTGGCCAAAGTATTTTTTCTTCTTTACAGCAAAGGAAAGTCCAATGCTGTAAAGAAAAAAATTTGCACAGGAACTTGGAATGTAAGATCCATGTACAATGGTAAGCTGGATGTGGTCTCTTCCCTCTAAATCTCACTTATTTCCTATCAAACTGCCACTAGTGCCAGTTCTATATAAGTCTTCCACCAAGTTTTGGTTCAGTCTCTTTTAGCACTAAGCATTCCAGTCCTCATCTCCCTGGTTTGGAAGCTTCAAACATTTTCACATAAATACACTGTCTCACGTGCAACCTTTTGATCTCTTAAAGCAGCTGCCACTTCTTTCAGTATGTTCGTTGCCAAGTTCTATCCTATCCTCACTTAGGCAACCTGAAACATTTACATCATCATCACTAATGGATGAGTTGACCACAATTGGATGATTTCAACTTTATTCCAGCAGTTGGTTTAAAATCCTGTCAAAAGGAGGATGCTCATGCAATGTTTAAGCAACTCTGAAATTCCACAGTATCTAGGAAGCTAAAATTTTGCAAAGGTGGGAATTTGTGCATTCAAAACTAGGAAGCAGCATGTGTAATCCAGACCTAAATTCCCTTTAGACATGGTGATCATTTTACTGAACAACTTTACAGTGGTACCTCGGGTTACATACACTTCAGGTTACATATGCTTCAGTTTACAGACTCCGCCAACCCAGAAATATTACCTCAGGTTAAGAACTTTGCTTCAGGATGAGAACAGAAATAGTGCTCCGGCGGCATGGTGGCAGCAGGAGGCCCCATTAGCTAAAGTGGTGCTTCAGGTTAAGAACAGTTTCAAGTTAAGAACGGTCCTCTGGAACGAATTAAGTACTTAATCCGAGGTACCACTCTAGTTTCATTTGTACTGCAAATAGTGTGACATTTTTGTTTCTGTTATCAGAGAACCAAAGTGATCAATTTTCATATCTGTGAAGATTCTTTATATGCATTTATATTCCATCTCCAAATGGGGAGTTAGCAGCAGTACATACATTGTTTATCTGTATGAAATAATAAATTTACTACAAAGAAGAAAGGGCTAGTGAGACAAGTACAGTTAGTAGCTATGTAATCTTTGCTGTCTTTTAATGATTTAGCAGTCCAAGCACATTGACTTCTACCCAAAAGGTGCCCTTGAATAAATATTCTCTGGGTGTTTTGTGAGCAATATAAAGATCAGAAAAGAAAATGGATCCTGTTGATGAATGGTTTTGAAAATGGATATGATATTGCTAGGGAAAATTGGTGTCTGTGAATCCAGGAATCTCAGGTCAAGAATAGAAGGTATGCACTTATCTCCAGGCTGCACCAAAATAGTACACTATCTTTATGGTACATTGCTAAGAGTAAGACCCCTCCCTTTTTTATTTCTATTTCAATAGATGAACAGCTGACTGCAGTTTAGTTAAAATTTCCTAGCAGCAAATGCTTTGATGTCTATTGTAAGCCATAACTGAATATTTAAGATAGAAACCATGCATTCCTTTGGCCCTGCTTCGTCTTCTATAGAAATCTTATATTAATGGCGTGATGAATAGTGATTTTCTCAATTTGAAATACCTAGGGAGGACCCAAAAAGTTTTATATTACATTTTTTGAAGGGATGCCACATTATTAGAAACATTAGTCATATAATTTTAGTCAATTAATTAACAGACCAAACTATTAAATTTGCATGGCAATTAAAAAAAAAAGTTTTGAAGAACAGACATTTGTTGTTTTTATATGATGAATACGTATGTCATAGTAGGGACCAACTGAGAAGAGGTAGTCCCTCCTATGTAAGGGGGAAAATACTTATCTTAATATAGTACTTGCCATCTGCAGTTTTTCTTCCCAGAGGTTGTGGAATTATTGAACCTCTGAAGGAAGTTTTGGGTGGATGAAGTTGAACAAACAGAGGCTTAATTCAGACAAGATTGGGGGGGAAAACTGGTTGGGGAAGACAGACTATTCTGGATGGAAGCTTGCAACAGGTCTTAAGACAATGCTGTCTTAAGACCTGTTGCAAGCTTCCATCCAGAATAGTCTGGAAGACCTACTACGCAGATTGGGAGTTCTACTGAAGTTGGCACTAACTGGGACAGCTCAAGTGGTAACGGTAATCAGGAGTGCTTTTTACCAACTCAGGCTAATGTCAACTGCATCCCCATCTGGAGAGGACAGGCCTTGCCTTACTAAGTAACTTATTTTATTACCTTGGAAATTGCACTGTGCGGTGCATTGATGCCTGGGTAATGGAACTCCTAGAATTGGCATCTTGAATTAGAGTGCCTCATTCAGTCAACTCAGTGAAAACTGGTGTTTACCCCCATAAAAAGTTATCCCTTGACCTATGACTGTTTTGGAAAAGAACTGCTGGCTTCACAGAAAGTCTACTTATTGCTAGCTACTGGACATATGATGACATAGCTGGCCGCCTCAATTATTTAGTGTGGAACAACCCTGTCATAGATCCTTTCAGGACCAAGGTCAATTTTGTGTGAGAAAATTCCCTGTACTCTAAAGTCATTCATATACAGTTGTACCTCGGGTTACAAACATCTTGGGTTACAGACTCCGCTAACTCAGTAGTACCTCAGGTTAAGAACTTTACCTCAGGATGAGAACAGAAATTGTGTGCCGGTGGCATGGCGACAGCGGGAGGCCCCATTAGCTAAAGTGGTACCTCAGGTTAAGAACAGTTTCAGGTTAAGAACAGACCTCCGGAACGAATTAAGTTCATAACCAGAGGTACCACTGTACTGAAAGGCTATATACTTTCAGTACACAACCTTTCTCCTGTTACTTGCTTATTCTGGGAGGCCTTGTGCCTTTATTTTTCTCTTGCAGGCTCTTCAAAGACCCATGGTGTAGAGTGCAACAGTATGGCTTGCTCCAGTTCATTCCAACCTTTGCAGACACCTTGGGGAATTGCTATTTCAGCTGGAGTATCACCAGCTAAATATCTCCATCTCATGAGCCTTCATTTGTGGTTTTCAATCAAAACCTGTCTCTGATGGGAGAATTTTATATATGGGAATATCACTGCTATTTGGAAGTACCATGGTTAGCCACAAAAAGCAGATAAAGGCTTTTCAACATTTGTGCTGTTCTTTGTTTGAAATGCTAAGATTTCATCTTCATGGAATCATGGATTGTACATAATGACATGAAATTTCTCTTCCCGGAAACATTTTAGCTGCAATGTGTATGCGTATCAGAATTCATTTTGTCTTCAAATGAAATGTATTTATTTTGATAATATTGCCATTATTAGCATGGCTATAAATATATCAAAATTATGTGTGCATTATTATGCTTGTACCATACTCTTTCTCCAAGGCATTCAGGGTGGTATGGATATATGGGAAATTAATGGAAAGCCATATTTATCTTTCCCATTTCTTATTGTGATTATTAATGCAAGGCTATACAAGTAGAGTTCCTGACCTTGTCTCTATTAGTGCCTTATCTGCCACCTGCTGGCAGAATGGGGTACACAATATAAATTTGTTCCTCAAGAGTACAGTGGTACCTCGGGTTACATATGCTTCAGGTTACAGACTCCGCTAACCCAGAAATAGTGCTTCAGGTTAAGAACTTTGCTTCAGGATAAGAACAGAAATCGTGTTCCGGCGGCGCGGCAGCAGCAGGAGGCCCCCATTAGCTAAAGTGGTGCTTCAGGTTAAGAACAGCTTCAGGTTAAGAACGGACCTCCGGAACGAATTAAGTACTTAACCCGAGGTACCACTGTACTGGTTGGTTTGAAGCCTATTTGCAACTTAGGTCTTTAAAATATATTCAAAGCACATTTTCTCCCCCAAAGAACCCTGGAAGTTTGTTAAGGGTGCTGAAAATTGCAGGTCTGTGAGGGGCAAACTACAGTTCCCATGAACTGTTCATCCAAGCATGGGCTGAGGCCGGAATTTGGGTCTGACCTAGATTGCAAGTGTATCCCCATCAGGAAAAAATAAAGAAAACAAAAAACCATCTTGCAGAATCCTTATATGTTTCTCTGTATTTAGATACTGGGGACTTACACCAACCACAATATTTGGTTCAAATTTGAAAGTTGATAGCTATGCCACCAAATCCCTTCACCAGTATAGTTGTCACACTGAGGAAAAACAGTTAACATTCAAGCCTCAGCTTTCACCTCAACTTTCTCTGGTCTTTGCCTTCCACCTCCCTCATGAAGTGACAGTATTTCTCTCTACTAACTGCTAACTGCCCTTTCTTTCACTGACTTCAGCCAACCAGAGTCTGTTGTTCTGCACACAAATCAAAATCAATGTACCTGATCCATGTCTATAATAAATTATCTCTCTCTCCCCTTTTAGAACCTGTCACCAAGCAGCAACTTCGAAGAGGCCTGCAATGTAGCAGAAGCACAAGGCCTCAACCTTTGACTGTTATACCCTGACATCAACAGAGCTTGCAGAAATCTTTTCCATAGCACAAAACATAAGACAAACATATATGCACAGCATTTCTCCACAAAGCACACGAGAACAAGGCGATTAATTTACTTCCAACATCCTTTCACCAAAGCAGAGAGAGCAGGGTCAAGGTAAAATCATCCCCTTTGGTTACAGGGGTGGGAAACTTGATATGGCTGGCAGGCCAAATACTTACCTCCTCTGCTCCCTGCAGGCTAAACCAGGCGAGGTTTTCCAAGGGTCTCATTCTTAGCACCCCTGAGCTGACCGCCTTTGACACTGACAGCCCCACCTACAACGGGCTGCCAAATGAGCTACTCTCCTGTGAAGAAGTTCCTCTGATGTCCTTTTGCACCTGCAGACAATTGTCACTTTGAGGGAGCAAACAGATTTAAAAGGTGCAAAAATCTGCTAGAAAACACTCTTACTTAATTATTATTTATTTAAATTTTATTCAGCCCCATGTGCCAGATTCCTATTGAAAGGGTTACAGCTAACATTTAAGAGTTGATTCACATATTAATATCTGTGTGATATATTACTCCTATTATTTCCATGAGGAGAGAAGAACTTCTCACAAACTGTCCTGTATAAGAGTTTTCTTTCCTGAAATAAGGAACATTTCTGTGATGGGCACTGCACAATTTCTTCCGCAGTTGTTTTAGCAGCAACCAATAAAAGAAACCTCATACAGTACTTTGCTTTTACTGCCAGTAGCCCAGCAGTGGTGAAATAATCTGTTACCACATTCTAAGGAATAGAAGAAGTATACTGTAAGGGAGTTGCACTCACCACTTAAAACCAATGAACTAAATGTAAAATGTAAACAAAAAACAACCCAACAACCCCAGAAAGTGAAATGAGGGAGTTAAATTGCTATTTATAAAGACTAATCCAGTACTCCTAGGTTTGTATAATCTAGAAGAGGAGGAAGTTATTTTTTAAAAAAGAAAATTAAATGTAGGAATACATGTAGGAAAATTAAAGGTTGGAATACACATTTCCTGGAATACAGCGGCCTAATAAAAAAGCTAATAGTAAAATTAATAATAATAATAGCCTAATAAAAGCTGCTCTCTGCCCCAAACTGGAAGGGAGTGAGGGGAAGGAAACTGGAAAAGCTCTTAAGAACCTACGTGTGGAAGGCCTGGGAATTCCTGAAATCTTTATCATATCCTCTAAAAAATTAACTCAGCTTGGTAAGTGCTGACAGGGAGGGGAACCTAAGGGAGAAAACCCCCTCCAAAAAACCCCCAACCCCTGCATAATAAGGACTGAGCATGTTCAGTGACCACAGAACACAGAGTCTGAGGGGATGAACAGAAAATCAGAGAGTGGAGGAGCATTCTGAAGAATGGTACAGCTTGGCAACGTTTTATTACAAGTCCGACCTGTCTCTATAGTCTATACATACTTCCGTTTATGTAAAACCTGGACATGTTCAGCTTTCCAGGAGGAACCTGCACTAGAAACAAGTAAAATTAATTTAAATATTCTTAATAGGCAATGGTTAAGTTCACATTTTCCTGCAACAAAACACTGTGGTTTGTGTGTTGGGACCTTCAGGTCTTAAATGAGAGAAAGAGAGAAAGGTCTGGATCCCATTCAACAAACAAATAACGACAGGGCAATGATTGCATGACCTTAAAAAAAACCTAAAAAAACCTTTGCAAACAGTTTTTAGTTGTGAAACAGCAATTATCAGTTGAAGCATTATTAGGCAGTTTGGGTGTTTTCCCAGGATTATATTCCAGCCCCAGTGAATTCATAAGATGTTTGTTGTTTCTATCTTTAAGGTAGAAAATAGCACGGCATTTCTGCAGGTTTCAGTGAAGGCCAATTGTGGGGTTCACGGCTGCAGTGTCTCCACGAGGCACCTGTAATAATAGCTTTTGGCTTTCTGATACTCGGCAAAGATGAGTTTGGAAATGCACCAACGGAACCTCCTGCCACCGTAGATCCGGAGCAGAATAGAAAGAAATCCCTACGCAGCAGCAGCAGACAGCAAAGCATCCAAAAGCAGCAGCAGCAACAGCTGCTGCCTATAACAATCAGTGCAACCCTCCTCCCCCTCGGGCGTTCCAGCGGACACGTCACCTTGACCCGCGCGAACCCTGTGTCGTCACCAGCGCCGTGCCCGTTAGTGACAAACAGGAAAGGCTCCTCGATTTCCTTACAAGGGCATCAGCCTATTCTCTCCATCTCGCTCGCGCGCACTCTCGACCTCGCCCCTCCCCCTGTGGCCCCGCCCCGTCTTCTGGAATGCGGTGAGCGCACGGGACTGTACCAATTCGACAACAGGGGGAGGACGGAAGGGCTGAACCAACTTTCCTTTCCCCCACCCCCGGGGTCACTGGGACATCTAAACCCTTCGTGAAGGAAAGATCTATTTCTGGCCCCTTGTCTGGCTCCTGAAGTTCTCCTTACTGACGACGCGCGCTCACTCATGTTTCCACCCCCCCACGGCTCCCCTGTGCTGGCGTGGCAGTAGTTCGGCCCGGTGTCTCGCTCTTCCGGAAGTGCCGAGGCCGTTCAACTGCTTTGCTCCGCTGCCGTCGCTGCTCCCTCGGCTTCTCCCGTAACCGATTCTCATCCATCGCCGCTCAGGTGAGAAAGGGTGGAAACGTTCTGCTTGGTGGACGAGCGCATTCGGGAGATGGGGGGGTGGAGGTTCAGGAATCCCCGCGCCGTCTGCGTCCCCCTCTTTGGGCTGCGTCGTGGTGCCTCCGCGCCCCAGTTCCCTGCCTCAGAGAGCAGCAGGAGGCCCGCTGGGCCTGGGCGCCGCTCGCTCGCCCGCCCGCCCGCCCGCCCGCCCTCGGAGGGCCCCCGCTTTCCCCTCAGGAGCGCGCCGGGGTGGGGCGCAGCTGTCATGGCGGTGGCTGCTGGGCAGTTGGAAGTCTCCCTTCTCCTGTTTGCCGCCTTCAACAGCTTATGGGCGGGGATGCCTGTGTTATCCCCCCATTATGTGAGGGGTCGGTCCGAAATTTCAAAATCACACGGCTTTGGTGTTTTAAACAGCCTCTGGGCAGGGAATGTCGACTTCCCCGATTCCCACGCTGTTGCGCCCAGGAAGGCTGCCGTGCATGAACCTGATGGAAGCGGCCTGTCAAGAAATGGCTGCACCCATCCCGACGGGGCCGTCCAGGCCTAATGGGCGTCTGGGACGGTGTTGACTCTCGCCAGTTGGCTGCTGGGAGCCAGCGAAAACGCCGCTCGAATCTGCCGGCCGCCTGAGCCTCCCTTTCGGGCGCTGCTCCCCCCCCCGCTCTTGCCCCCGTTGCCAAACAAGCTCGCTGCGGTGGACAGGGGAGGTTCCCTCCCATCTTATCGCGCACGCATCCTGTCCGCTTCCTCCCCCCTCGGAGATCGGATGCCGCCTTTGGCAGTTTCGTAACATACAACGGAGAGTTTTGTGGTATATTTGAAAAATATTACTCTCGCTGGCGCAATGTCGGAACCAAGACTGTAGAGATGCTGGTGCAGATCCCCATTCAGCCGTGAGGTTCACTGGGTGATGCTGTATTAGGATCGCGACTAGCCTTTCTCACAGGGTTCTTGGGCAGGTAAAATGGGGAAGAAAGGCAGGCTGTAAATGCAGCCAAACAAACCTGCCTCAAGACTTGGGTTTTCTTCCCAACCAGGCTAGTGCTACTCTAGAACTTATTATTTTGTTAGGCAGTATTTGATAGTTTTTTTGGTCACTTGGAAGATGAACCGTTCAGTGTACTGTATAGAATCACAGAGTTGTTGAGTTGGAAGGGACCACAAGGGTCATCTAGTCTAACCCCCATGCAATGCAGGAATCTTTTGCCGCATGTGGGCCTCCAACCTACAGCCCTGATAGTAAGAGTCTCATGTTCTACGGACAGAGCCATCATCCTGACAACAGCTTCTTTAGTTTAGGATCAAAGTGCACATGACAGCTTGCTTTGTTTCAGAGGCCAAGAACTAAATGTAGTCTCTTTGCAAGTGAATCACTATAGTAAAATTCACTATAGAGCTTGTTTTTCCCTTGATCACTTTAAGTGTGTAAAGCCTCCCTCACTGTGGACCTACACATGTAATAGTTTGATGAAAACTTAGCTCAGAGCAATTTTGGAAGTGGTTACATATTCAGAACATAAACTAGGGACAGCTTTGTGTGGAACATAAAATTGGGACAAGAAAAAGTTGGTTATTTCAGAGTGATGGTGCTTCTATAAATATCGGGTGCTCGAAACTTGCGGATACATAGGAATTTGAAATATTTTTCCAGCCCTCATGCAGCATTCTGCCTAGTGCATTCCAAAGGAAGCCATGTTAAAGGAGGAGTTTCACTGTAATAAGGTTCCAGCACACTATTCATTACTATGCAAGCCCCATCAAACTAAACCAGAAGTAAAAACTCAGGTGATTAAATAGCAAGGTTAAAAGTCATATATAAATATGAACTAAAGCATTTACTGAGATAAGTAGTATGAAACTAATGCAGTTATGTTTCTGCAGCACTACACAGCAATTCTTTCCTCCCAACCCCAGGAATTACACCTTGAAATTGTTAAGAACTTCTTAGACAAGATAACCTTGCTGCACAGCCATCTTTTAAAATTTACAAAGCAAAATAGAACTTGCACTAAAAACTACAACTCAGCCGCTCTGAGCCCGGCCTTGGCTGGGGAGGGCGGGGTATAAATAAAAATTATTATTATTATTATTATTAATTATTAAATAAAGTCAATATGAAGTCATTCATCCTCTTCTCTTCCCCCACTCCCCAACTTTCTCTAGCTGGTCACCCAGAAGTGAGTTTTAATACATTGCAAACATGCAGTTGTTTACAACTTTCAATTAAAGGTAAAGATAGATAGCAGGTTTAAATAGATGAAGAAACTGAGATTTCCAAAAGGCAGTTGGGTATCACTTTCAATTGATATTTGGTAGGAAAAATTCTAATCTCTGTTCTTCTGCCACTTTTTGCTTTGAGTTTTCTGTGATAGTTCTCATAAATTATATAATCCACAGGAAATTTCTTTGTAAATTAGTGGCTGAAATTAAACTAGTATATCAAGCCTTGCAGTGCATGCTTAACTACAGTTACCATAAATTATTCAGCTTGCTATGATCAAAACAATACCATCAAAGCAGAGGTGGCAAAGGTAAGCATTCCAGATGTTATCAGATGCCCAACTCCTATTTGTCCCAGCAAGCACTGCCAATTGTCAGGTGTGGTAGTAGCTATAGTCCAACTTCCGGATGGCCAGAGGTTTACTATTTCTGATCCAAAGAGACATAAAAGGGCATAAAGCTTGGGCTTTTGATTGAGCCTACTGATCATAAAATTAAAATTACTTTTTGTCACTATTGTTGGTACAATCGTTTTGATTCTCTTGGGAAAACCTATTACTTTTTGTAGTATCAACTTGTGTGCTTGGTAGTATATGATAGTTTTTAAAAACATTAAATTGCTTGCTATTTAACTTTTTTCTATGTGTTTATATATGATGGGCAATGTCAAAAAATACAGTTTGAACCAATTCCCAGTACATATGAGCTTTTCAGATGAAAACCTTGTATGTATGTATTTGAAAATATTACCCTTCTCTGATGTGCATGTCCAGTGTTTGAAACTCCCATTGTTCTAAGTGCATTTTGCAACAGGGAATTTCATTAGCGCAAGCAGTTTCTGAGCTCTGGGTGCAGTACTGTGCCTAAGATTTCAGATTACAGTACAGTGCACACACTACAGTGGAAGGAAAGGACCCTTTTCTGCCTCCCCACTTCCAGCTACTCACTGAAGACTGGGGGTGGGCAGGGGAAGGACCATGTGAAAAATGAACATAATATTTTAGCTGCAGTTCATTCATTTTCAGCTTTGTATTCTTGTTATAAAAAGCGCACCTGGACATTCTGTTGTTGCACCCATAATCTAGGTTTAAGATGCCATTTAGCTCTTAGCTTGCATATCGTAGTTTCTAACACTGTACATGTCTACTATAGGCAAGAATCATATGTAGCCGCTTGCTCTATATGCATCACCAGCTGATTGATAAAGTTTGGTATTATTATTTCAACTAGTTGGAATAATAATGCCATGGATAAATAGGAGTGCTGTTTACATAGGCTGTGCTGACAAGAGTCTATATGTGGTGGGCATAATCACAGTGTTACATGCCTTTCCTACATGTAAGTTATATCCATTCTGATAAGATGGTCCTCAAGTAGTCCACATGTTTAAATCTAAAATCATTGGCTTATGTATATGGCAGATTAGCTGTTTATAATCTGAATTAAAATGGAAGGCCCTTGAATGGAAGTCATTATTCGTTGTGCTTGTTAAGCTATTATGGTTGTGAAAGGGCAGTAAATGTTTATTGGGTGACTTGTACTTGAGTTTATTTTTAGTCCAACAGTAATTTGTGTTCTGGTGTGTCAGAGGACTGTTGGAGATGGAACACAAGTTTAAAATTGTGAAGTTAATCAGTAGATGAAATCAGTGTTGCTATTTGTAGATCTCCCTTTAGCATATAACTCGCGTACAACAACATCTCTTGCTATCTGGAACCTTCATAAACTATTGGGCTGCAGTCTTATTTTGAGAAATGGTAAGACTTTTCTCTAGAAAAAAAATGAATGGCTTGGTACTTTGTTAGGAGATTTGTTTATAAAGCTAAGTATCTGAACTATACTGAATAATTGTGTATTATTGCTAGAATTTGGTTTTTGAAATGTTATGATGGGATTTAGACATTGTAAAAATGATTTCATCTTCATGTAAAGATTCACAAAGCTTCTTGGAGCCAAGTACTGGGAGCAAATGGTAAAATCGATTTCAGGATGTTATAAAACTTACGTTGACTGACTTGTTTTGTCTGATCTTCAGTTAGTGAAAGAATGTTTGTATCATGGGATAAATTAAGTTTAAAAACATAGAAGAAACAAATGTGCTCTAATTATAATTTTCAAATCCTTAATGCTATAAATGCAAACTTAATTTGAAAGAGAACTCATATACACCCAGCTAGCACAGATCAACTAAGTTGCAAAAAGTAGTGTGTATATTATAGAGGGGATAATTACTGTTAATGATTTACAGTACTTAATTTCCAATATAATTGTGTCCAAAAATGCAGCCAAAAAAATCATTGTGCAACAGATCCACCCTGTGCTTCTAAGAAATCCTCCAGTATGTTAGGCATCAATCTCAATATATTTCACTCACACACAAATAACTTTTTTGACTGTTTATTTGATGTCATTCTGTATCTGCACACACATTTCTGTCTACAAACATTGAGTTGTATCCAGTTGTTTCCCTCTATTGACAGAAGTGGAGACTTCTATTAAAAGAAATGCAAGTGAGAGGGGAAGGTGATTTTTGTTGATTCCCTCTTCTGCTCTCTGTGCCCACCAATTTGTTACAGAGGTTTGGATCCTTTGGAATGGCTGTAGGAGAAAGGGATTTGTGAAAATCACCTCCTTTCCTCTTGCAGAAGCCTCCACTGGATGAAAGAGTTTTCACCAGCAGAGGAACACAGTTGGATTCAGCCCTATAGGCAAGCAGGGGATACCTGTGCCAGGGCTTCTTAACATTGTGGGCTTATGTCTGACCACCAGATACCTTGATTCCACTTTCTATTGCCTCACAACAGCTATGGCCCACTTATAAATAATAGAGGACACCCACCACAAACCCCTAAATTAGTACATAATCCTGATATATAGCAAAAGGGTTTTCCGCTTTCCTTTTTTAGGGCGCCTTAACACTTAACTTATTGCTTAAACTGGTGATTTAACATGATCTTTTTAAAGCAAAGAGATCAATATATCTGTCAGTGGCCTGTACAAAACCAGAATAGTTTTTGGATTGCTTAAGAATTTGTTGGCACGCCAGGGATATAAATTCCATTTTAAAATCTGCTGTTGAAACTATGAGTTAATAAGGCTTTCTCACTAAGGATCACAATAAAGGCAAGGGGAATTTTTAGGGTAAAGTTTATCAGGGCATATTTAGGGAAGGTTGGCTTAACATGTCTGAAGGAAGAACTGTATAGTGACTGACATGTGGTGAAATAGCAGATGCTAAGCTCTCCCAAGCATAGGAAGCATGACTGACACTAACAGAAGCAAGGATATGTCTCTCTTCAGCCCAGGCTGCTGCTCTTAACTCAATAACATGGATTAAATATGATTCTGTAGGAGCACTGATACTCAATCTCAACCACCTGCTGTGGCTGAAAAACCTAGTATTGCGAGCACCAAATGTTCAAGTAATGAGTGTACTCCCCTACATAATGACTTATAATTTATTTTGTGCATTGGTAGCCCCCACTCCTGCCTTTTTTCAAGGAACTCAGAGTTGGGGTTAGACACTATCAAACTTCCACAGGGTAGCTGTGATGAAAGAATGCATTTTGATGCAAACTGCCCAAGTTGGATTGAGCAGGATATGAACCTGGTTTCTCCAATATCTAAACCCAACGTAAATTGGGGGGGGGGGACCTGTGGCTCTCCAGGTGTTGCTGAATTCCCATCATCCCTAGCCAGTACGGCCAGTTGTCAGAGATGATGAAAGTTGGAGCACAACGACAAATGGTAGACTAGGTGCCTGCCCCCTATACTAACAGTCGGGATTTATATTTTACTAAGGTGCAGTAGTGTACACATTACACATTTTAGCTAGTTTCTTGAAAATTAAAACTAATTGCACTTATGAGGCTTTGAATTTGGCAAAATTGCCCTTGCAGACCATATGTCCCATATATCACGTTTTGTTTTTATAGGTTTCTGTAACTACCTCTTTTCTCTTTCTGTCTTATAGAATCCAACCGCCATCATGTCAAGCAAAAGGGCAAAGACCAAGACCACAAAGAAGCGCCCTCAGCGTGCCACTTCCAATGTGTTTGCTATGTTTGATCAGTCACAGATTCAAGAATTCAAAGAGGCATTCAACATGATTGATCAAAACAGAGATGGTTTCATTGACAAAGAAGACCTGCATGATATGCTTGCTTCACTTGGTAATTATTTTTCTCCTTTCTTTCAGTTAAGTTGTTTCTCTGTTGAGGGGGAAATTCACTTTGTTTCCCAGATATTGCGCTAGGATTTTTTTTATCTTAACATTTGAGACCTGTGTTATGAGTTAACATTAATTCTGTAAATGATAGTATATAGATAATCTTTAAAATATGAATATTTGATTTGCAGGGAAGAATCCAACTGATGAATACCTAGATGCTATGATGAATGAGGCTCCAGGACCAATAAACTTCACAATGTTTCTCACAATGTTTGGAGAGAAATTAAATGGCACTGATCCAGAAGATGTAATCAGGAATGCCTTTGCTTGCTTTGATGAAGAAGCAACAGGTGAGAACTTAAAAACCCCAAGATAACTTCTTTGCTTTTGATCTTCACTGTGAACATGTATTTATGATGAAAATATAAAATGTACTTGAGAGAAATGACACACTTGCAACGTGTATTAGTTAAACATAGATTTTGACAAATGCGTGGAAGGTAAGGATGCCAATGGCTACTGGTCATGTTGGCTATGTAGTACAGGAATGGGCAGACTTCAGGCTTTTGAGTTCTACTGTGTTTCTTTACTAACACCTTAAGGTCCACCAGTTAGATGCATTATGTTTGCTTGGGAGTGCAGCCAGTCACTTACAGCATCTAATGAGCATACACTGGGATTGCCTACACATACAGGTACAACTGAGTTACTACAGAACAGGGGTTCTAACACCCTGATTTAGAAAGGGAAAAAGCTGGTTTGTGACTAGAAACCCATGTTGATCTACTGCAAATAATCCAGAGATCTAGCAGCAGATCCTGATCCACTTTTCCCCCACCCCTCTAGTATCAGAGTCAGTATGCTTCTGAATACCAGTTGCTGGAAATCAGAGGTAGGTTAGGGCTATTGCACTCAATTCCTACATCTGGGCTTCTCATATGTGTTTGCTTAGTCACTGTGAGAACAGAATACTGGACTAGATGGGTCTTTGATCTGATCTGGCAAAGCTTTTTTTATTTTCAGTAGTAGAAAGCCTCCCAAGCAGCAAACCAGAATGGACAAGTTGATAGCTACAAACCAGGCCTGTGAATGATGTTGTCTTTGGAACAACTAAGAAGCAAAAGACTTCTGAGCCTAAATAAATATTTGCAAAGGGGCACTTTAAAAGTCCTTGGTGCTGCATATACCTCACAGGATTAATATTATTTGTTCTTTATATACGTCTCAAAAGCTTTATGATGAACTAATACAGTCTGAAATACCTTATTTCAAGAGCTTTCATCTTAACATTATTGAAATGCTTTTCAATCATTGGGGTGGGCAGTCCTGGTGGGGAACTGAGGTACATTACAGAATATAACTACAAGGTGAAAGGTCCGATCTCAAATCAGTGGCAGCTCATGTCCCATAATATCCTTTTACAGCTGCTTTCATTTGTTCAGATGCATTATTGCATCCTCAATGCTACATAATATAGAATTGGTGGCTATTATAAATTTTGTTAATATTACTGTGGTGCCTCGGGTTACAGGCGCTTCAGGTTACAGACTCCGCTAACCCAGAAATATTACCTCGGGTTAAGAACTTTGCTTCATGATGAGAACAGAAATCGCGCAGCAGCAGCGGGAGGCCCCATTAGCTAAAGTGGTGCTTCAGGTTAAGAACAGTTTCAGGTTAAGAACGGACCTCCAGAACAAATTAAGTTCTTAACCCGAGGTACCACTGTATTGTTGTTATTATTAAACCAAGAATGGAACAGAATTCAAAATCAATACAACAGTGCTAAGCAGCTAATAACTATCGTAAGTGGGTACATGAGAAGCAGAAACGTAGCTGGTGACCCCAACACACATTACTAATGCTGGTAAAATGCTATTTTTTCACATGGTTCCTCTACCTGAAGTCAGAGGGCAGGGCTCTCCTGGTCATAGAAATATTTTTGGATTAGGATTGGCTGAGCAGTGCAGAGAGCTGATTTGCCAGGCTTGCACAAATGTTTCTGGAGTCTCTCCTAGCTGAAGTGGAAGGCTATGATTGTGTGTGGGACAAAAAAGTGTGGTTTTGACATTTGGGATGGAGGAAAACTACTTAAATTTTTACTTTGCCCCAGTATACTTAGTGTATGAGCCTCTACTCTCTAACCCCAAGGTTGCAAGGATATCTGATAATCTTGGTGTCAGAAAGGCTATCACTGACACAACCCTAGCATGTGAGTCCTTCTCTCTGCTTGCATTTATACAAACAGATTTTGAAAACAGTCAGTGAATTTAAAGCAGAAAATGTATTTAAATCCTTTCTTCTTAGCCCTAATGTTTGCTATGGAGCTTTAAATGCTAGGCTATTACTATATTAGTTAAATATGGATAGCTATAGTGTTTTCAGGTAGCCATTCCCTTGTTTTTTGAATAATTTAATTGTATGGCCTAACTATTACTATATCAGTGGAATGTTTCTTTTGATAAAGCTTGCCAATTTTGTGTATGTAATGTCTCCTGATAATCTATATTTCTAGGTTTCATTCAAGAAGACTACCTGAGAGAATTGCTGACGACAATGGGAGACAGGTTTACAGATGAAGAAGTAGATGAGCTCTTCAGAGAGGCACCAATTGACAAAAAGGGCAATTTCAACTACATTGAGTTCACACGCATCCTTAAACATGGAGCAAAAGACAAAGATGACTAAAACAGAACTCTTGCCTCTGCCATTTTCTTTAGATCTCACCTGCAGTTATCTTTGAGGGGTTTTTTCCTGGTAGAACCTGTTGCATGCATTTAGCTTTACAGCTTTTGCCTTTCTTGATGTATTTATCTATACCAGGCATTCTGGCACATCTTGCACCTGTATAATCAGGTTGGCAATGGGGATTGTAGTTGTGGTGAGAGAGTTGGAGGATAAGATCAATGACTCTGAAGGCCCAGGAAAAACGTCTCAATGTTTCTGGTTTAGCTGGATTTTTACATTTTGTAATAATGCCATTTTGAAATAAGATTGCTATATCAATAAAATACCTCAAATGCTGCATTGTGAAGTGAATTTTTATTAAGTGTTTAGAGTCCAGAGTTTATACATTCCCCCCAAAAAACAAGATGGGAAGCAGTATGCTGGAGCTTATCGTGATGTAAAGAACTGTTTCTTTCATTTAAGACTGAACTGCAGCATTGTGAATCACAAATGTGGTGATCTAAACTTTTTGCAGGGCAAGGATTAGTTACTGGCAACTTTTCAGATTCTGCTTTCTGGCCTCCACAGTCCTATAGAGCAGATACTCACAAACATTTAGATTTTGGTGTTTATAAATAAACTTGGTGTTTATAAATTTAGAAGGAGCTTCCCTTATTTAATCTGATCTAGCAGGCAGCAGTTGTGTTATTTTTCCTGTTTCCTAAAATAATTCATAGAATTGTGTCAAAATGATACAGGTTTTTTTAATGGACTGCAAATACTTTCTTTGCCAATCTATAAGCAATTACTGTGCATTGGAGAGTAAGTTGGAGAATGTTGAGATCTCTCTTTTTTGTCTGATCTACCCACTTGCAGCATGGAAAGGACGTTACAGGCACATGCCACATCCAACTGTTAGAACAATTTTCCATGTGCAGTTATGAGAAATAGTCCAATGGGAAGACAAATGAGCAGCTCAAAATTGCTGTGAGAAACACATGAGAGACCACAACCATCTGGGAAACCAAACACAAAAAGTTTCTAAGATGGGTGTCTGACGTCTACAAGTTGTGTGCTTGCTGTGGGAAACGCCTAGTGAAGGCTTGAAACCATCAATAATGTAGTCAAATCCTGCCAATATTCCAAATTGAGGCACTTTTCTGCCATAGTTGAAACTGCAGAAAACTACATTTTTTTCATTAGCTAAACCTTAAAGAAAGCAGAACAAACGTTTGTAAAATTAAACTATACTCCAGATCAAGTTGATTCCTTTAGCTTCCCATTGTTTTAATGTTCAAGTCCTACCATCATATGCTTATTCTGTGAGATGTATCTGCGTTTGGATTTGTTATCTTAATCTGAAATTATCTGTAATTTTCTTGAGCCTCAACTTCCCCATCGTAATGCCAGACTTGTGTATATTCTACAGAGTCTTGTTCTGTTGAAGCTGGCATTTTGCAATGATTTGTGTTTTTAAAAATTCTCTTCTGTCTAGATAGCTAATCTTTTCCTCCTTTAAACAAAGTACCCTGCCTCAGACCACCCAGCCAGCTTTCCCTTCCTAAGAGTGTGTGTGCAGCTGTCAAGGGCATGGTTACTACAGTGCATCATATTGGAATGTCTGAAAGATCTCTACAGCAGGAGATTCTTGAAAGGCTGCTTGCCAAGTATGCAATAAATGCTTATTATTTAAACCCTGTTGAGGGGTTCATTGCTGTTTTGATAAAATGACCAAATCCTTTTATTTCAAAAGCAGCAACAGTTTATGGATTGAGGATACTGGCTTTTAAAACTTCTAACAGTAGAGTATAAAGGTAAAGGGACTCCTGACCGTTAGGTCCAGTCGTGACCGACTCGGGTTGCGGCGCTCATCTCGCTTTATTGGCCGAGGGAGCCAGCGTACAGCTTCGGGGTCATGTGGCCAGCATAACTAAGCCGCTTCTGGCGAACCAGAGCAGCGCACGGAAACGCCGTTTACCTTCCCACTGGAGCGGTACCTATTTATCTACTTGCACTTTGATGTGCTTTCGAACTGCTAGGTTGGCAGGAGCAGGGACCGAGCAACGGGAGCTCACCCCGTCGCGGGGATTCGAACCACTGACCTTCTGATCAGCAAGTCCTAGGCTCTGTGGTTTAACCCACAGCGCCACCCGCGTCCCTAAGTAGGAATACATATGTGTTTATTAACTATGTAGCTGTAAACTATTGGAGACAACCTTTTATATTTCATGTTTTCCTTGCAGTTAGAAAGCTTTCAACACCCGTGTACATCTTCCCTGGAAAGCATCTCTGCTATACTTATAAAGTATTTTAATTAATTGCAGGTGCTCCTTTGCTTGAGGTCATCAAATACATATTTGCCCTTTCAATTAAGGAGATTAAATTTCGCAGTTATTATTGAGCCCCTGAACCATGTTTTTACTGTTTGACATTTTAACGGACTTTTTAAAAATGCCGTTTTTGTCCCTTTTTAAATTTTTATTTTGCAATAAAGTAGATGAGACAAGGAAAATAGAGCACAGGGGAGCTTAGCAAGTGTCCAGGTCCCCCTTCTGATCCTACAGTTTGTGAAACATGAGAAAATCATGCTTCGAGTAGAGCCACTGAAATCAATACACCTAAATTAGTCATGACCAATTTGAAGTCCACTGATTTCAATGGGACCTACTATGAGCTTGATTTAGCTGGATACCGCCCACAGACTAGTGTGCGTCAGTTGGCATGGGATGCAGCATGCCTTGTTGGCAACAAGGAGGGCCTTGGGCTTCTATACGATGGTCTGGTGCATTGCTTTGCAGCCTGCCGTCCATGGAACAAGGCTGTGGCCCAAAGATTGTTTTAAAATGTTGCTTGCATGTAGCCTCTGTTACTATCTTGGCTGCAAACTCTCTTCCTATAGGAATAATGTCACTGCTAGAATGTTAGACTAAGAATGGGGATATTTGTGAGTTCAAATCCTCATTCAACAATAAAGCTCACTGGTTGACTTGGGACCAGTCACTTTCTCTTCTTTGCCCTCTGCTTCACCCTTTCATTTGGTTACTGACACTTCGCTTTTCCTGCACTGAAATCTCCACTTTCTGCCAGCAAACTTTGCCTGTGCAATGAGGCATCTTCTGTGTGAAACCAGTAGTACTGTAAGGCACTTCTAGACTCTTTATAGACTGAATAATCTCATGGAGGTTTTCCTCTTTTGGTGGTAATGTGTTTACAAAATGTGGTAAGTCACTGGGGGATTTTTTGTTCATTCTGCTGGGTGAAGCCCTGTATTTCTGCCCCTAAAATCCTGCCTTGACAGAACTCCATTTAACCTTGCTAAATATCAAGCCATCATATAAAGAGCTTCCTTGACAATTTCATACACAGATCCCCCCTTTGCAGACAAGAGCAGTCACAATCATGTGCAACCTGGAGCAAAAATGATCCAGGCTTTTAAATAAAGAGGATAGGGAGCTGCCTTAGACCAAGTCAGACATCATAATGAGATTCCCACAGCTTTATAAATGCTAATGATTTGGGCTGATCTGAACTTCAATAAAGTTATTCTTTTAACAAAGTAGTGATTTAACCTAGACTGACCACAGGTGAAAAATTACCAAATTATTTTCTGATTACACTTAACGTGATTCCCCCCTGGGTCTCTTCATAGCAACAAGCGTTTGGATATGATTGCAAAACATTTTTTACCTGTGACAGCTGTTGAGTTTCTTTCTACTGAAAATATATTCTGGCACTGCAGAAGATCTGTTTGCATAATGTTCAGAGCCCACTGTATCCTATCAAGAATTGTCAGCCACATTCACCATCAACATACTGCCAGAATCAAATCCAGGGCTGCCATAGAATGGAAATGAAAACTTTCAGGAGCTAAAGAGAAAACTTGTGGTTTCCACTTCAGTTGCTTGAAATAATTATATGATTTCTATTTTACAACATGCTTCAAAAACTAATACCAAGGAGAAGCAACCAATTGCCAATAAAATTACTGCAGGAGTCTTCACCTTTGCTGTAGTCAGATTATAAAAATTAGATGTTCATAGTCTAATAAAACCCATGATGTTCGTGGTCTAATATAAAAGTAAACAGAACTCTTATGTTTGACTACAAACTTATTTTGTATATGTGTTACTCTTTCTACAGTCCTTATTCCGCTGATTAAGTAATCTTTTAATTTCAGCACACTTCGAATTTTATGTGCTCTGGGAAAGTAAATTTCCCTTGGAAAAATGGAATTAATTCCTGGATTATATTAATTTATTGGTGTCAGTTTCCTTTGGCATAAATAACACATTATATCTGCAGTTTTATATACTTCTGAGTAGACATATACAGTATAGGATTTGTTGGAAGTTTGAGTGCAACTCAGCTTGCAGCAGAGGGATTTGCATGGAGTTAAGACACAGAGAGAGGAATCTCCAGATTCCCAGACTATGCTTGTACTTTTGTCTCTATGGTGACTTCTCTATCTCTTTGTTGGTTAGACTGATATGTCTTAGGTGATGGCATCCTATCTATAGTCAAGGTGTGGTAGAGCTGTGAGATTCTGCTGCATGCCTTTCTATCTATAGACCCATTTTGCATTGGGCATAATGAGTGTGTTGTGTGTGCGCACATGTCAAGACCCACACACACAGGATCAGTAACCTGTGACCCACCTTAACCTCCATTTTACTGGGGAAACTGCACATACGTGAACCATATATCCATTGACCTGTATGTATAAGTACTTTGCACATTACATTCAATGTGGTTAGGCAAGCCAAGCCACAAGGGCTCAGCAGGCAAACAAGTTATGCAGACATGCATGGAACTTTTCATGCAGATGGGTTTACTGTCAGAAAGGACACAAGCATTTTATTTAAGGAATTTGTGCATATTCCAGAATGCTATAGAATGATTCAGTCTCTGGACTGACTAACATGGATTTAATAGTCCACTCCACCAGGTGGCACTGTGCAAATACAATGGTGCTAAGAGACATAAGCTTTCTTCACTACCATCATTGACCTGCCCTTCCAATCAGCCTTACCTTGTTTCATTGGATTTGCCACAAGTGATCCACCAGCAGCTATATGATATCTTAAGAATTGCCAGGTTTGTACTCGGCGAGAATGGCAAGAGAAGAAACCTAGATTAACCCCTTGTTCAATATATGGACCAGGCCTTCCATAAAATTGCCCTAAGTATTAATGAATGCATTTCCCCACACAGTTCTGAAAATCAGTAAGATCCATCAGTTTAAAGGGGCAAGGCATCCTATTTATTCAGCTGCCCTTGTGGATAGACTAGGAGCAATAATATTGGCCTCTAATACGTCTGTGCCTGATTGGCAAAGTACACTAAAATGTGCGCAGGAGGACCCAAGACATTTTGCCACTTGAGGCAAGATGGCATTCCCACTCCCAATTCTGTGCACAGGAGCTGAATGCGATGGCAGTTGAATCTTCCTTCAGTCCTGGCATTGGCTGTGTGTGAGAGTGAGGGAGAGAGGGGACAGCTAGGGAGGAACAGTCAGGGGGCTGCCACTGCTGTCCTCCCCCGATACTTGTTGCCCAGTAAGTTTGCCTTACTCTCCAAAATGGTAGATAGAAATACCTCCAGGCAGAAATGAGAGCTTTTCTGGGGTTGGTGACTGACAAGTCTTAATAATAATAATTTATTATTTCTACCCTGCCCATCTGGCTAAGTTTCACCAGCCACTCCACCCCAGTCTTGGGTTGTTGTTGTTTTTCAAAAAAAGTATAGATGGCAATATAGATATATTTAATGTTTACCAGGCTTGCACAAATGTTAAAAAGCTCACAATCTCTGTACACTATAGGTTTTATACCAATTATACTATAAAGGTAAATCCTCTAGAATTCTTCTTATGACTTTAAGAGCATGATACAGTGGCAGCAATGAAAAACATAAACAATCAATTTGATTTATCTGGACATCTAGGATCCCAATTCTTATAGAATTGCAGCACTCTTTATACAATTGTATGTTGTATTGTTATAACTCGCCCTGGGGCCTTATGGTAAAGAGTAGGTAAGAAACTATTTAATTAATTAGATTTATTTCAACAGGACTTGAGTGCATCACAGTGTGTCCTTCCAGCCACCCTAAACAAATGTTGATTTAAAGTTCCACAACTCAGTCTTGGAATATGTGCAATAATAAACATGGGATTTTCTTCTGAACACATGCAGGGTGTTTTTCCTTTGCTGCAAAGTAACCAGGATCCTCACTTGGGATTAAAGAGCCGGGGCCTTCCAGGGCAGATGGCACAACTTCCAAGTATGTTTGCAGCACCTTATTTCTTCCCCATTAGTGCTTTCCATATAGGAAAGAAGACTCCTTTTGTGGTCATGGCTGGCATCAGACTTCAAGGGGGTGGGGGCTCTGCAAAGTGCTGCTGATGGGCCTCTAAACACTCGCACCCCTAATGCAGTCAAGTTTGGCTCCCATTTAAAAGTGGCACTGCTTCCCACTGATAAAATGGGCAGGGCAAGGAGTGGCAGTATAGTCAGTTCAATAAGGGGGCCTTTCTGCACTCCTAGGGACCTTGGCCAGTGTCGGATCTTAGCAAGTGCCAGTGCCAGGCCTATCTGTGGGATAGTTTTACCGGAGAATGGAAGAGATACCGGAACTGTCCTCCTTGATAAACTTCTGGGCGCTCTCCTAAAATAATAGGCAAACATGAGCATGCCTGTGAGTAAGGACAACAGCTGCTAGGCCTGTCAGGCTGTTTTGATTGTTCTTGACATATCCTGTTAATCTCTCCTTTAAACAAAAAAACTGCCTCCGATTACTTAAGAACTAGTATGCTGTGTGAAACCCCAGCTGTAACCTCAGACAAAACAGCTGGAAGAAAAAAGTACCTGAAGCAAATTCCATGAGTCACTCCCTTTCAGCCTGAGAAACACATTCGACTCTTCCCAACAAAAACACCTTCCCCCGCAGAAAACGTTCAAGCTCACTGAACAGCTCTGTGTGTGTGTACGTGTTGGTTGCTGTTGTTTTCCTATAACGGAGCCCTAGACCTGTTTGATTTTGTTTTTTGTCCGAGTCAATTTCCGTGGGTCGCTTGGACCAGGTCGTCAACCTACAAGAGCCAAACTCCCTCTTGAGCTTTGAAAGGAAGTGCCTTCAACTTTCAAAACACACACTTTCTCTCTCTCTCTCCAACCTGAGCTACGTCACAGTAGGATTTGGGGCACTGGGGCGACACGCGGCAAGAGCAGCAGCGTCAACTTTTGCTTTGCAAACGAGGAAGCTGCTGCCCCGCACAAACCCGTTGCAAGTCACACAGGCTGCTCTTTCTTCGGGAAAGGCCGCGCCTTCGCCGCCGCCGCCTCCTCCTCCTCCTCCCGGGGCCGCGTCTCCTTCCAGCACATTGGCCGCCAGCGGGATCGGGAGTGATTCAAGCGCGGCTGCCTGGGCGGCGCCCCCAGCAGCTCCGGATGTGAGGTGTTCGCCACTCAATCTCGGCCGCCCGCAGGAGGCGCCTTCCACCGAAGCGCCTCCCAAGTCTGGGGCGAGCAAACCCGGCTGGCGCTGCAGGGGATTGTTACTCAACTGACAGCGTTCTTCCTGGTCCCTTTCTCGGTAGCATAATAAATGGCATGCCGCGCAACACGAAACACCAACTCGGCGGGAGGTAGTTCTTCCGGACTGTGCGTAATTCCCGGCACACATATTCCAGGTCTAGTTAGGCTCTTACACGGAAGAGTCTTGCGGCATTTTTCAGCTTTAGGACATTTATTTCGTGGCATAAGATTTCGTGGACTAAAGCCCATGACTCTAACGCCGCAACAAATAAAACTGATCCCAGCTTCAGCCTCTGGCATCTGAAATCCTGGAGAGTCACTGTGAACTAGACGCAGCCGACGTGTGACTCAAGCCACGTTCACGCCATGAGACCACTTTAAACAGTCAAGGCTTCCACAGAAGAATTCTGAGAGCCGCAGGAAGAGGGGTTTCTAGTTAAACCGCTCTGAAATTGTAGTTCTGGGAGGGAAATAGGGGTCTTCTAACAACTCTCAGCACCCTTAACAAAACTTCACTTCCCAGAGTCTTTTGGGGTGGTCTCACTTTAAATGTGGTTTGTCCGGTTTGAATGTGTCCTCGGTGTAAGGCAGCTGTCTATATTCCTATGTTAAGGTACCACATGACTCGTTATTTTATGTCTATCCCGAGACGTCAGGGCTGCAGTCCTTTGCTAGGGCATTGAGCTCAATGGGACTGGCTTGCGAAAAACAAGTTCTCGCGTGCCATCCCGTGGCTAATGACAGGTTGAATTTGTTTTGAGAAGGGGGAAAACCCACTCACAAAACTTTTCTGTGGCCGCCACATGACCTTTAGTTATGATATGCAAAATGAGTGTGATGGCAACTCCTGCCCCAACCTTAAAGGCGCCGCTTACCCCACCTGCCTCATTTGGAGGCTGCAATCCTGCATGTGACTTACTTCCGCGCAAAGAAGCCATAAAAATACCATGGTTACAAAAAGGGGAGAAACGGGGCAGCAAAGGCTACGTGGAGCTTACTTCGAAACAAGCCGGAGGCGGCTCAACTGGCCTCTTGTCTGTCCTCCGGAAATGCAACCACACGGGCTGTTTGTGCGGCGGCGTCTCCAGCCGGGACAGCTGGCACTGGGGAGCTTCCTAGCCTGTCAGAGGCGGGGTGGGCGGCAGCAGCCTCGCTTTCCATTAAGCAATCGCAACTTTCCTGGGTGATGTTCCAAGGTGCTCCACAAAGCAGCATGCCTTCAGCTTTTCTGCTGGGGCGTGTGGCTCAATGATTGCATGACATTTACATTTTAGTCATGACTTTCCTTTCTAAAGCCAGGAAATGCGAAGGACTCATCCTTGAGCAAGAGGCTGACTTTCCTGATTCCTTGACACATTTTCTTGCATTGCCCAGTGAGATGGATTTTCCCACAAGGAATGAATCCAGCAGCCGCCTCGTCTGTAACTGGAGAAGGAACCACTCAGGCAACCTCCTTCATAAACGACTGGACTCCGGAGCCAATCCCAGTTGCAGTGAAGAAGAGGAAGGGAGGGGGAACAAACAACCCTTCGGCTGGAGTTGGCTCGATCCCAGAGACGTTGCTAGAGCAATTCGTCTATCTCGCCATCTCAGAGCAAAATAAACTTTACTAACGCACGTGTTTGCTCAGCGGGGTGAGCCAAGCCGTGAGAGACTTACTTTCAAGAAGTCACATGCACTTTTTTTTTCTTGTTGAATGAACATGTCACTCGAAACATACTGAGCACAATTCATTTTTAGAAGCCCGGGGGTGGGGAGTGGAGAAACCGCTCCAGCAGCGGCGAATTTCCCTCCACATGAGTGGAACTGACGTAATGGTGACTTTCCTTTTTCTGTTCGTTTGAATTAAGAGCAGTAGGTGGTCTGAGAGGAGAATATTCAGGTGTGAAACCGGTTTCCCTGGGACTTAACCTTTCGGTTCTTCTACAGTTTAGGTCAGCACTTGGGGAGCTCAGCCCCTGTCCCTAGAAACCCCGAAACACGAGTAGAAGTGAGCCCCCAACGGAACCCGGTGCCGGTGGAGCTTACTTCTGAGTAACAGGGGTTTGGGCTCAGGCTGCCCATCACACAGACCAGAGAAATAACGGGGATTTTGACTGGGACCTCAGCAAGGCGTCCCTGAAGGAAACAGTTCCTGTAGCGCGGACTCGGGTGAAGTACATCTCCCCAAGTCGTTTTGAGGTCTCTCGGGCCACTTCTGGTCGCCCCCTCACAACCTATTGGCCACGATAAAGCCGCTGATCTGAAACGGCGCTGACTGACGAGAGAAAGCAGACTCTGCGCCGCAGTTGTTGCTCACACTCGGCATGACTGATCAGTTGTAAAGCATGACAGCGTCTGACTGGTTCTCCAGCATGGCAGGAATTTCCGAAGGGGGCTCAAGGGCGACGCGTCCACCAATAGCACGAGGCAGCTCCGGCAGTCACAACAAGCCCAGAAAGGGAGGGAGGGAGGAGGTGGAAGAGTCCTCTCCCCTCCCTCAGGAAAGCGGGGCTTGCCGAATGGAGGGAGAGATTGGGCAGGAAGCAAGGCTGCCATCCTAACTCCGGAGTAAGAGCGCAATCCTAACCACGCCTACTCCGAAGCGAGCCCCGTGCATTTCAATGGGGCTTACTCGGCTGCAATCCTAACCCGTTCAAGATCCCATTGGGATCAGTAAGACTAACTTCCGCGTGGACGCGTTTAGGATTGCGCTGGAACTCTCACGGACAGTTAGCTCCGAATAAGCGCGTTTCAGTTGCAAAGGCTCAACTTTCCTGACGCTGCCTTTCCTCTTCTCCCTCCCTGCTCCGCATTCACACGAATTGCGGAGTTCCCTGGAGACGGGGGTCCGGCAGGGGCCCCTCCAGCTGCCTGGGAAAGAGAGCAGGAAGCAGACGAAGGCCCGGGCCTGCCTTGCCCCGTCACCATTGCCCTCCGCTTCGCAAGAGAGCTCGCGCGTCCTCCTCTCTCTCTTTGGCATTGGCATCTGACAGAGTCGCTCGCCCTCGCCGCCAGCCAGCAGCCAGGGGAGAGGGAGAGGAGGAGGAGGCGGGTAAAGCGGCTCCGGCTCCTGGTTACTCTCTAGCTTACTCATTGCTGGGCGGTGGGGGAGGGCGCACCTCGTGGTGGCGGCGAAGGCAGCCGCTTGCTTGCGCTTGCCTCACTTCGCCAGGCACAAGTTACAGAACAAAGAAAGCAGCAGCAGCAGCTCGAGCGCGCCGCTCTCAAGTTACTTGTCTCAGCTCCCCGCCGGGGCTGGAGGACCCTGGCCATTCCGCCCTCTCGACGCCCTCCCTCAGAAACAACTTGCCGGAGAGTTGCTGTGTGGGTTGTTTTTTGTTTTTTTTTTGTCTCCCACCGCCGCATTTCCCCCCAAGTTTCTCTTTGCTCACCCTCTCCCGTTTCTGAAATAGAAGGAATCTTCCAGGATTGGGCAGAAGGAGTTTCCAGGCACCAAGATGAAAAGTAAAAAAAGTAAGTGGGTTTGTTTGGTGGGGCTCTGAGGCGCCTCGCTGCCCTCCTCGTGGTGTTGCTAAACAATTGCGAGGCGAAGGCGAGGGAGAGAAGCTGCTGCTTTGCAACTCGCGAGTTCGGTTTGGGAAAGAGCTCGGACTTTTCCCCAGAAACTTGGTGTGCAGTCCGTGTCTTACATGGCAGTTGAGGGGGGTTTTCCGCTCAGACAAAACACAAGCTGTCTGCTTGGAGGCTGCAACTCCATGCTGTTGCTGGCGCCCTGTCAAAAACATGTTCCAACTGCCTGCTTTGTGTCCGAACAAAGTTTTCTCCTAGTCTCTCTTCCCCCTCCCCCTTCTCTCTTTTAAACCCGTTTGTTTTGCTTTACTTCTTGCCTTCTCTCTCATTGAATACTGAAAGTTTCTCAAACAAGAATGTGCCTTCTGGTCCCGTTCCCCCCGGTTTTTTTTTTACGTTTTAGAATCTCAGCAGCCTTCCTCGAGCATGGGAGCGAAGGAGCGTTCTTTGTTTGCGATTTTCGGCTAGGAGGGGGGCATGGAGACGGGGGTGGAGCCATTTAAAAAGCGGTTAAGCAAACTCTGGTGCAGGGCTTTTGGTTTTATTAAAAAGATGCAAAGTGTGTTTATACAAGACACGAAAGCAGGTTTAGGTACGCTTTCTTCTCCCAGAATGAGAGAGACTGTGATGATAAAATAACTTGGTAACTCACATAAATACACCGTTTGACAGAGTGGATTTTCCCCTCCTACCCTTTTAAGCAGCGGATTGCCACTGTTTTTGTTTGTGAAAAAACAGCTCAATTTTATGCATGTTTACTCGGAAGTAAGCCCCATTGAACTCAGTGGGGTTTACTCTAGGTGTACTGCCTTAGGCTGGAGTACTTTACTAAGTTACTTGAGAGTAAGCCCCAGTGAGGCGAACTTTTTATTGGGCATATAGGATTGGGCAGCTAAGGCAACTTTGCTTTTTTCAAAGAGAACAACCACTTCTTAAATGTTGTATTTAAAAGTTCATTTTCATGCAGTTGGTCATATTGTATGCTAGTAACATCATTAAAAATTGTAGGGTAGCATTTAAAAGAGTGTTGCATTCTGTAGATTTGGCTTTTGCTTAAACTGCACATTTTACATTCATAGTTCAAACATTCCTCTCACTTTGCCAGGAGTCCTGCAGCAGTTTGTGTGTGTGTGTATTCAATTTTGGACCTACTCTTCAGTTTTGGACTGAAGAGGTCTTCTGTAGCCATAGTTTGTAGTTTTCATGTGGAGCTGCAGAACTAGACACACAAAGGAAACCAGGCCACACAAATGCTACAGTTAGGCCGTGGTAAGTGGGTAATATAAGCCCACCATAAACGAAGAGAATATCTGTAGATAAAAGTCTGTGCTTATAACTTTGTATTCTGTCCAAAAGTTTTTGTTTGCCTGACTACTGGTAACTTTGGATTCTGTGTTACATACTATGACCTGCCCTTTCTGTGGCTAAAGTCATACATCCTGGCTTTTGAGCTTCCCAGTTTGTACAAATAAGTAACATTATTGGACAAAAATTCCATAGTGAACTACTTAGAATAGTTATTTTTAGAGCATTCCTCTGCTCCCTCTATTTGCACAGTGGTGGTGAGCTGGTTTCCTGTCTGCTGCTGCTTCCATTGTTCTTTTGGCTTCTCACTCTAGGCAGCTGTTCCATTTGTTTGTGTGTGTGTGTTTTAAATATAAAGCATCATGCAAAGCTAACTGTTAACCCAACTCAACATTAAATGCTTGTACATTTTGTCATGTGTTCAACAGCCTAGCTGTCTAGTGAGCTTGGGCAGGGCATAAAAGCAAAACAAGGAAAAGATGTCATGATTAAGAGGGAGGACTTCAAAGTTGAGGAGTGCATTGAGTGCACTGGGAGCACATGTTGCAAGCTGGAAGTTTGCAGAGGCCTGACCTTTAAAAGACAGTGTAATTCAACATTTTCAAATGATAGGCTTACAAAGCTGGCACATGTGGTCTGTAGTTTATCATCTGTCCTGAAAAACCCTAAAGTATTTTCTGTGCTATAATCCTAACGTGGAAGGAAGTTCCTGTTAAAGTAAAGGTTTAACATACTTGGTTTTACTTATTTCACTCTCAGCCCATCCTTCACCCAGCAATTGATCCCAGTTTATCAAACATAAAACTTAACTTGGTTCTGTGTAAATTTGAGTGCTACTTGTGATTTCTTGTACATAAGAAGTATATGTGGATTTAAAATCAAGCTGACACATAGGGCGGAGGATTAAAGTCAAGGAATGCAGTCTGTGGAGGGATGGGAGAGGGAGTTGGTATGTTTCAGTATGTGAACCATTATAATGTCTGTCTCCCCTTGCTGTGGAATGAATAATGTATGTTATTCCATAACCTTTGTTTGTGGTACTTGCACAAATGATGAGATACCTGGTGATGCACATTTGGGGAGGAAGCATATTCTGTACAAATGGTTCTGATCTGTGTATCAGATCTCATATCCATAAACCATGTTCTAAAAGAGTGCTTTGGGGGGCAAGGCTAGAATTACACACACCTTGTGAAAATAAAATAATCTGGCTAAGGAGAATGGGAGCAGCTGCCCAGAGATTGGAGCATCTCTTTGATCCCTCTTTGCCTTATGAGTATGGGTGAGTTTGTTTATTTACCAAACCTGTTGCCCCATTTAAAACAAAGAACTCCTCAAGCTGGGTTTTAACACAATGGCCAAGCAATATATGAAAACATCTAGATCAACACTGTATAAAAGGGCTGTTAAATAATAAGCCTAGGAATTGGTTAACTAACAAAAACAGTAGTTCATAGAGCATCAGTCAGAAAAGCTGCTCTTGACAGCAGCCTGTTGAAGCTGTGTTTTCCCTTCTTCTGACAAGTTAGGGAGACAAATAGGCAGCCCTTGTGTCTCATTAAATTCTCTTTCTCTTGCTGTCCTGGGTATGTTAACACTAGCCAGGTGCCACTATTTTTAATTGCTATGCCAATCGCAAGCCTGCTGCCTCCTTTGTTTTCGCCTTGATTGCATTTGGGCAGAGTCCATACCACATAGTACTTTCTTCATGTCAGTAGTATACAGTAGTGACTTTTCTTCGTGTTTAAAAATTCTTTACTTAAACATTTAGGCATGATTTGAATCTTGTACATGTGATTTAACCCAGTGCTGGAATGAGTTCTGCAGGTGCCTTCTGGAAATGTTTTGCTCCTGTGAACATGGGCAACGGCTCAAGTAGAGCTTCACAAAACACACACAGTGAGAGAGATTTCCTGGAGAAAGCAGTCTAGCACATTGTTCTCTTGGCAAAGGGAGAGCCTGCTTCTTGAAAGCCTCTTTGTAAATCTTATTAAAGCAGCTGGTTTCTACCCTTTGCAATACTTCTTCACAGCACAGCTCTTCCGTTATGTTACCCTGCCTATTATTAAATGGGTTTATTTTCCTCTAATATTCAAAATCAAAGAGATTATTAACAGTATCTAGTGTACAGGTCTGTGTGTGGTCTAATGCACGTTAATATGGTGTTACTTTGTGCCAGGAAGATGAAAATGGTGCAGTTAATCCAAAGAAATTTAATCTTGCATATATACATTTTGACAGTGTCATGCTGTGCATGCATCTAGAGTGAATTTCAAAACTGAGGCCTGCAAGTTGTGCCAAAAGCCAGTTGTGTCCCAATACCTTGTACCTGGTGAACTCTGTGTGTGTTTTCAAAGAGCACTGTTAAAAACACTCCAGATGTTGTAGGACCCCAACTCCAATCAGCCCCAATCAAGATCTTGAGGGCCACAGATTCCCCATCCCAGATCTATCTAGAACAGTATGGTCAGAGCATTATCATAGTTCAAGAGTTCGTTCAAGCCAGGCCAAAACACTCGAGGGCACAGAGGTGGTTGTGGCCTGAGGAAAGTCCTGAAGTTTGGAGGGCCACATTTGGGCTTCAGAATCCCCACTATTGATCTAAGAAACATGAACAAGAACTGCACACCTACAGTTACTGGAATAAGGGTGACCGCTGGAAGCTTCTTACTCATGCATACTTGCAGCTTTTTCTTTCTTTTACTTTGAGGAACTTGACATAAGTATCTCTGATACTTTCATTACCTAAGAAGTCTAAATTTTACTGCATTAGAACCCTAAATTAAAACAAGGCAACACTTCTGTATCCAGATAGTTGCCCCCTCCTTTAAACACAGCAAACAACTAACTGTTAACACATGAGACAGACAGCCTAGGAAGGATGCCTTTTAACTGTGCCCTGTTAAAACAGGAAATCAAATGCGCAGACTGATTACTAACAAGAGGAAAAACCAAAGCTAGCCTGTAATCAGCACAAATGCTGCAGTGTAAACAGAGCCATGGCAGCCCCAATGTGGCCTTTGCTCTAATGAGAAATCAGCTGGACTAAGGAGAGATCTGCTGCCTACTTCTAGTTTCCTGTTGCTGCAACTCCTGCACAAATAGGGGGACTTTTCTCCTGGCAGTTCAGAGGGCCGGTGTTCCATTATTGAAATCAGCTCATTACCCCAAGAGAAGTTGCATGGCAGTTTTCTCTTGTTTAGCCCAAACCTGTTTTGTATCATTAACCTCTTAGCAGAGGGAACATGTCACAATAAGTAAGCAGATCAAAGGGCAGGCAGCACTGCTGGTTTGTTCTTGCTTTAATTTTTTGTTTGTTCTGTCAGGAGATTTATCGGTTCTTGTTTTTATTTTTGAGGGGTAGGGAGGGGAAGAGCAGGCTCTTCAGTTTCGTTTTTGAGGAGGGGCACTGGAAGTATCTAAGTCTAGCTTTTGAATATTTTTAGCACAAGTTTGTAACATTTCCACTACCCCTCCTTTTTGCTCTTAAGGCAATGTCCTGATCTAGCTGACTAAAATACTTTAGCATGACTGTTTACCTCAAGGCAGGACTCATCATGCAAATACTTGTGCAATGTGTGTAGATCCATTGACTTGTCTGCTTCTTTGAACCACTTGCTGTTGCGTACATATTCTCTATGTACATGGAAAGCGCCGAGCAAGCCTGACAATGGCCAAATGACCCACTGAACTCTCTGCATACTATAGAACTCAGCGGGGAGAAGCAATAATTAGTTGGCTGTTAGCTCTAGCTCCACCCGCTGGCCTTCCACCCCACCAGTTTCAGTGGGCACCAGCTACCACTACATAAAATATACATTAGAATTATTCTCCTGAGATTCTGTTGAGCAACATCACATTGGGAACACATCATAGAAGATTGGGGTTCCAAAAATTTCTGTTCCTACTGGGCTCCTGTGCTTGACAGAGGAGCAACAGGCTGAGCATTTCCATGCCTGGCAGAGCTGCAGCTGTTACATCACTGTCATTATGTTCTCTGGGAAAACACCGAGAGGGCTGTGCCAGAACAGAAGAAGTGGTGGTCCCAGAGAAGAAAAGCTTCTGGTTTCCTACTCCAGCTTCTGCTGCAGTGGCTCTTGCTTGGGATAGCCATGACACAGAGGGTGTCCTCATGCCTCTTACCGGGAAACATGGGGATAGTGGGTTGGTGATAACTTTCTTTAGCCCACTGGCTTGGGAGGGTTTTGTTCACCTGCTTTCTCACATTGCTTTGTTGTTAGCTGATTTTTATGTCATTTTTCATCATTTTTTATACTTGTCTGTATTTTGTTCACCGCTTTGGGAGCCTCTGGGTCAAAAAGCAGTGTATAAATCAACAATAACAACAGCAACAATATTGTTATTATCATTAAAACAATAGTTGGGCATCCTTTGTAGGGCGTTCCACTAGAACTACTGTTCTACTTGGCTACTCTGCTCTGTATGTCCTTGCTGTGATCCTTCAGGAGACTTGAGTGTTTGGTCAGACGTACCAGTGGATATGGTAGAGCATTTAGTGGCTTGGCCCCTGATGGCCTTTGACAATGCATGATGGGACTTAGGTTTGGGAGCTTCTTTTCTGTGCAGTCCATACCCATCCTGAACCCTCTTTGCAACTAACACTGTTACCACCTGTTGAATAACGATGCATATTACCCTATACAGTGGTACCTCGGGTTACATACGCTTCAGGTTACACACTCCATTAACCCAGAAATAGTGCTTCAGGTTAAGAACTTTGCTTCAGGATAAGAACAGAAATCAGGCTGTGGCAGCTGGAGGCCCCATTAGCTAAAGTGGTGCTTCAGGTTAAGAACAGTTTCAGGTTAAGAACCGACCTCCGGAACGAATTAAGTACTTAACCTGAGGTACCACTGTACTGTTGTGGATGGCAGGGGGAGAGAAACTCTGTAGTGATGAGTGTCTAAATGCTCTGCACAACTATCATTTTTTAATAACCTTTGCTGGGAGGGGAATAAAGGAAGTGGAGGTATCGTAATTTGAAGGTTACAGTGTAATCCTAACCTTGTCTGCTCAGAAGTAACAACTGTTGAATTTAGTGGGGCTTACTCCCAAGTAAGTGGGGTTGGGATTAGACTCCTTCTTGTTGGTGACCTGCCATCCATGCTTAACTGTGTGTGGACTGCTGGCCTTGCAGCTCCATTGCAGGAATAGAGTCCAGGTTTCTGGTAGACATCGTGTCAAGGCGCCATGCACAGTTGCCTGTGACGAAAGTTCCCAGCTAAAGCTGCTTGTTGTGTGCTGACATTGGCTTTTAGCTGGAATCTTATCTCCCTTGTGGCTCTGGGAGTGAAGGAAGGAGAGAGAGGGCTGTCATCTGGCCCTCTTCAATGGGAATGCTTTACCTTTGCTTCATCTGTAGTTTCAGATGTAACATTACACTGTCCCTGAGTTGAATATAGCAGGGATGGGGGAACATGTGACTCTCAGATGTTGCTGGACTGCCGCTCCCAGCATCCCTGACCACTGGCCATGCTGGCTGGGGCTGATGGGAGATCCAGCAACACCTGGAAGGCCACAGATTCTGTATTCTTGTAGTATAAGTTTCTGACTAATATCTGCCTGGTTTTCTTCTGCAAGTGAAATGTGGTTTAGGACTGAATCTATCCCAGCCAGTGGGCGAAACTCAATAAGATTTGTCTGTCAAACTAGTGTATACGACTTGGATTCCTAAAATTTCTGGTGGGAATGAAAGACATGTAGCCAAAGCTTTGGTTTCCTGCACTGACTAGTTTGTTTATATGACCTGTAGTAACTACCTTCTTCTAAACTCAGAGATACAGCTGCAAATAAAACATTTTAAGTGCAATGTGACACTAGATGGCAATGGTGAGCCTTATGGAAAATTCAATGTATTTTTAAAAACACTTTAAAAAAAGCATTTTCAGAACAGTTTTTAATATGTGTGCAGATTCCACCAAAGTATTGCTAGTTTCTTTAGATGTTCTTTTTACTGCAGTGTTCAGCACATTGACTTGAAAGTAAGCTTTACTTAAATCAGTGGGGTTATGTTTCTAGACATATGATTATAGAATTGAGATGTTAGCTCTCTCTAGTACAAAATGGAATTGTAAATGTATTGCCAGATAGTTGTATATGAATGCCTTGATACAATATTGCTGTTGTGAATGAAGCCTGCTGGGGCAGGGTGAGGAACACAGTAGAGCACGTTGTTTGCATGCAAGAAGATTCCAAGTTCTCCCCCAGGTTCTCCAGTTAAAAATAATCAGGGACAAGGCAGAGTTTAGAAAATACCTGATGTAAGGGAGCAACAGGGTGGAATGGAACAGCAGTGCCACCATTGCATCCAAAGCCCTGCTACTTGTACTGGCCAAAGCTTAAGGTGTGCGGAGGGGTAGCATTTTGCCTAATTTTAGCTGTGGCCACCTCCAAAATCAGGCCATTCTGGCTGTTAGATAGGCTTAAGAGCTAGTGGACCATGGCCCAGCCAGTTTCACTGTCCTTTTGTCCCCGTTTCAGGGCTTTACACCAGCTGTTGGCAGTGGATTCCCCGTGATAGCCAGTCAACAGCCCACACTGTCAACAGGCACTGCAGGAATGTTCCATGGCAGTGAAGAAGCAGCGGGAATTGGGGGTTGTGATTGTTGTTTTTGGCAGTTTCCTATAAATTTACTACATGAAACGAACAGTGATGCCACCCACAAGCAAGTTAAACTCAAGAACTTGGATGAAGGTAGATCCATGGCTCATCCCTACGATTTGCTGTGCCAGCATTAAATATAGTACATCAACTGCTATGCCAGCACAGAGTCAAGGCTGAAAAATACCACACTGGCTTTTGTGCATTTAATCCTTGATGGAGCAGTTGGGCACATTGGCCTCTGTTGAAAATTTCAGGTGCTCAGTCTTAAGTGGTTTGTGAATAGAAGAGCAGAAAATGTTTAAACTTTTAAAAGCTAGAAGTTTCTAAGGCGTGTTGGAATATTACTGACATCTAATCTTGGTTTTGGCTTCCTGCCTACCTAATCATGAAGCATTTAGCTTGGAAGGAAATTTGCTGGATTGCATACCCACAGTTGCTGGCCAATAGTTGGTATGGTACTGGCAAATGATGCAAGCCACTGTATGTATGAGACCATGTGGACAGTTGTTAAGGTGACTGGCACACCTATGCCATATCCCCAGAATACAGGAACTGGAGGTATATCTTAAGGTTGCCTCTCTGATGCTCATTGCCACGCTTTAATTGCAGGTGATAAAATGTGTCTGAATGGATAAGATGAAGAGATAGTCATGCAATGTTCACTGTTGCATTTTTATCATAGATGCTGCTGTTGCAATATCAGGCAGTGAGACAGAGGACGATGACAGCATGGATGTCCCTCTGGATCTTTCCTCTTCTGCAAGCTCAGTCAAGAGGAGGAGGCGGGGTAACCTGCCCAAGGAATCGGTGCAGATTCTTCGGGATTGGCTCTATGAGCACCGCTTCAATGCTTATCCTTCAGAGCAAGAAAAAGCACTACTGTCAAGACAGACACACCTCTCCACACTACAGGTATTTAAAGATGCTCCAATTACGTTTTAAGACTATGATCCTAAGTACACTTAATTTGGAGCAAGTCCTGTTTAATTCAGTGCAACTCGCTTCTGAATAAATAGGCATAGGATTGCATTGTATAATAGTGTTAGTTGATGAGGTTGTATAGCCATGAGCTTATGTGTTATTTTCATATGCTGATGATACTTTGAAAGGTGTTGTTTTGTATTTGGGATCTACTTACAAACCAGTGTAAACACATAGAGTAGATGGTTCTGTTTGGGCTTTGGATCAGGGTTTTTTGGGGCTCACTCTAGCAGCATGGATGGTGTCTGTCATAGAGTTGTAAATTACCTCTGGCTGTTTTCATCACAAGCTGAATTTGTGTATCTCTGTAATGGCCTCACTGAACCCATATATTGTAACTTTAAGCTCCCTGTAGTATTCCAAAACAGGAGCAAGATGTGAGTGCACATTACAGTGACTCTGGAAAATGAGCAGGGTGACAGTGGGGACATGGAAGTGGCAACTGCAGAGTTCCATCCCCCCCCCAATGCTCCAAATATAGCAGTTTTAAGCATAAGCTTGTAACATGTCTGTGTAGCTTTTCATAGAAATAGCTCTTTTCAAGTATCTGGCAAATAATGTGCATGTGTCTGTACTCTGATTGACCTAAGAATGCAAAGTTAGAGGGCTGGTTTCTGTTCCCAGTTCTGTCAGTGACAGTGCGCAATTCTTTGTATCAGCAAGAACAAAGTGAAATTATGCTTCTGTATTTTATGGGAGTCTCTATTTGCTAACACACATAAAAGCTTGCAGACTCTAGGAAGCAAGGTCCAAAGTTCCATTGGAAGTAGCCCGGAATGTGTACACTCGAATGCAGACCAAAATATGCTGGGTTTTTGTTGGCAGCTCTGCAGAAGAAATTTTGAAAACACAAAAGATACAGCCCCCTTGGAATATGTGTGTGTGTGTGTGTGTGTGTGTGTGTGTGTTGTAATTTTGCACATATTTTCACAATACATCACTCCTCTTCATACATTCAGCTTGAACCAATGAGGGCCAAATATGAGGAGACATTCACACAAGTCTGTCCCCACTAACCTTCCCCCGCCCCCATATGCTAGCTCTGCTTTAGGCCTTGCTGCTCAACACACACTCACAATATATAGGGTTGTGTGTCCTTCATGTGAAGGGGCAGAACACCTGAAAAAGATTGTGTGTGTCTGTGTGTTGGGACTGCATAAATCCAGCTTGCTAAAGACATAAATCTGTCTTTTGACCTCTCATCCTGTTGCTTTCTTAGAATATCATTTCTTTGTAAGCGATAAGCAAATTTCCTTTGTCTGCATTGGGCAGAAGGAGAAACCATCCTTATCCAGCAAACATGAAAAGGGTTGTTAAGCTGTCCTTTTATTGCCCAGGAAACTGGCTTGATATTCAAACAAGGGCAAACTTCAGTGAGGTAATCTCTGTTTTGCCTGTTGACACAGATAGTTGAACAGGGCAAATCAGTAACTGTTTTTGGGAGGAGTTTCTCTTTCACAGGGAAACATTTTCCTGTTGTTAATTAACCCAAATGCAATGAACAATGAGTAACAGGTTAACATGTGTACAGAGCTAAAAAACTAAGCCTATTGGTTTAGGCTAAGCAGACTTCAGAGAGCCTGAGGCTCTTTAGTAAGCAGAAAGGGCTGGTAGAAACAGGAAGGAAAGAAAGGCCTTCATTCAAGGATGTGTCATAACTTGTCTGCTGGACTTCCATTTGTCCTGCAGTTAAGGAATCTGCTTGAAGGGAGTCACAGATTTAACTGCAACTGCTCTAATGGCACAGAGTCGGAAATGAATGGAGGTAGGCATTAAGATGTGCTTGTGTTCTTAGGTCTGCAACTGGTTTATCAATGCACGCCGCAGGCTTTTGCCTGACATGCTGAGGAAGGACGGGAAGGACCCAAATCAGTTCACCATCTCACGACGAGGGACCAAGATGGCTGACGGCAGCCCGGTGGAATTCTCCATTGGCACAAAAAACTGCATTCCACTGATCGAGAGCTCGTTCCTCTCCGGTAGCACAGGACCAAACAAGACTTGCAAATCTTCTTCCTTGGGATCCGTTTTGGCTCGGCCATCAGTAATTTGCCACACCACCGTAACTGCACTGAAAGATGCTCCTTTCCATTTTGGCCAACCGGGTGGCACTGGTCAGACCCCGGATGACCTGCAGCGGGCTTCCCCTACCAACTTCACAGACAACTCCCATCTATACCACGAGGATGTGTCTAAGCTGGGACCTGGTACAAATGCACAGAGTGGGCTTTTCAACACTCCCCCACCGACCCCTCCAGACCTCAACCAGGATTTTAGTGGGTTTCAGCTCCTGGTGGATGTTGCACTGAAACGGGCCGCGGAGATGGAGCTGCAGGCGAAACTCATGATATAAAACATTCTTCATATTTGCCCCCCGGGGCAGGGATATAACGGAAAGATGTGGCAATTGTCTACATGGTATCAAAGACTTAACTGCATTTTTTAATTAATCTTATTTGCACAAGGGATTGCTGAAATGAAGCTTCCTGCCACTGAAGTGGTTTTCAGTGGGATATGGTCATTCCAAGAATTATAGACTTAAAGCTACTGTAGAAACAAAAGGGTTTTCTTTATTTCTTTTCTTTTTTTAAAAAAAATGTTTTGTAGTAGGGTTTTTTTTTCATAATGTGAGATGATTCCCAATATCATGTGATTTTGTTTTGTTATTATTTTCATTGTTTTTTTCTCTCCAGACTGTGCAATATTTAGAAACAAGATTAGTCTTCATATCATTCCCACGTGGAACAAAATATACCAACAGGCTGTCTTAAAAAACAAATTCAAGATTTTAAAACATGTTTGAATTTGAATGATTATGCTTTTTCATGATGTAATAAAATATTTTCTTTAATAGTGGATTCATATTGTGTTTTGTGTGTGTGTTGAACTAATGCAAAACTTCCAGCTACACTGTAGCAAAGAGATCCTTTCCTCTTCCAGATACTCGCAGTGTTAAAAGTACCCCTTTAAAAGGTTGATATAAATACGTTACTCAGCAAATGCTAAAATATTGTATACTGTGACTTTTTAAGTCTATGTTATCAGATCTATATGCACATGTGTGTCATCTTTTAACATGTGCAGCCTCGAAATCTGTTTAACACTCCCGGTCAAGCAAATGCATGTTTAAACACAAATTCATTGGCTTTGTTTTTTAAAAAATCATAGGATTGTATTATTGACTTCTCCAGTGCTGCACCTCTCCTGGCATAGCAGACTTCTGTGTGTGCAGTGGAGCTTCCCTTTCCTCTCCGTCTCCTCCAGCCCCCACATGCCCTCTGAATCAGCTCTGAAGGGCTAGGGGACCCCAGAACAGATTTTGGATGAGGAAGGAGGTCCTACTCACTGTGCTAGCAGAAACCCACTGGTGCAGCATTGGATATAGCCCTAAATACAGAATCTGTTAGGTGAGTTCTCTAAGGCAGAGATGCTCAAACTGCATTCCAGGAACCATTGGGAGTCTTTGGGGGCCCAGTCTGTTGCAGGTTCTTCCGCTGGAGGTTCTTCCTTAACAACATTAGTGATGGCAAATTAACTTCTGTGATGGCTTGTCCGCCACCTCCAGTCCTCTGCAATGTGCTGCCAAAGAAGTGCTGGAGATTTCTTCAGTTGGAATCTCTGTTAATATGGGGCAATGGCAACAGCCAACAAGCCTGGTGAATGTTCTGCATGAACAGATTCAAACAGAAATCAAACATTGCTCTGTCTCTAGATTGCCACCTTTACAATTTCCCCTCCTCCAGGTCACATCCCAGCCAACTCTAAAAACTCACTGCTTCTGACTCTAAGCTCTGGCTTTATCTTGTAACTAGGTAACTCTGAGTTGAGGGAGGGGTCCCAACCATTTGTTGTCTCACACCAAGTCCTCTGGATGGCTCACCCCCTAGGCTCATGAGGAAGTTAGCCTGGATTAATTAGCTATTAACACTTGGCTTAATTAAAGGATTAGAAGTGTCTAGCACACAGTATAATACACACAGGTCTGGCTATTTCCCAGTTTTAGCACCCCAAGCCTTAATTAAATTCTAGCAGCTACTGGACCCAGGAATTTAGGGAGTTTAGCACCCACAAACTCATTACACTATGTTTCTTTTGTTGGTCTTTTCTCAAAAATAGAGTGAAATGGTTTATTTCATGTCTCCTTACCTTAGAGGCCTCCCTGCACTGTTTCCTTATTTCCTTTTCTACTTTCCTAATCACAAGTCTCTCTGCTATTCCTCTCTTTCCCATCCTGTAAGGCTGTGACTCCTAACTTGCCTCCTTTTGCTGACTCCAGCGTGCCAATCCCCTCCCTTTCCCCCCTCTCTTTTTCTTGCATTGCCCCAAAGGTATCTTGCATCCCATCTCTGAACTCCCTCACTTACTTTCTTCAATCTTTATTTCTCTTTTTGTTTCACTACTTCTTTAATTGAATTCAATATCAAGAGCCCCTCTCTCATTGTGTTCAATAGCAAGAGCACACAGATCTTTTACTCTCTCAAGCAATTTGCCTGCTGAGAAACTCTCAGATGTCCCTGTGTGTCTAATAGGGTGGGAGAAGAGGAGAGACTGACAGATAGGGGAAACTGCATCAGCTCTGCCAGATATCTCTGAAAACAGGGGGATGTTGGGCAGTGAAGACATTGTAAGCTGGACAACATGCTCCATGTCCAATTTCAAAGGGCTTGGAAGACCCTTAAATGCTCATCGTACAGAGCTGATAAATGGTTATTTTGGATTAAGCAGTTGGCTGTGCAGATCTACTGTAAAGAATGAAATGATTACAATTCTTAGACTATTTTTTTGCAATTTGTTTCCTTCAATATCCTTCCAAGTGTTTGACTTCCACTTGCTACCAGATTCCTCAGTGGCCTAGATCACAAAACAAGACACCTGTGCTGATTGCAAGTGCTTTCTCATCTTGTATGTAAACAGTGGTGTATCGCGGGGGGCCCACAGGGGCTGTTCCCCCGGGCACAAAACTCTTAAGGATGCAAAATTTCTGCTCCTCATTTGTCTGACTTCCTTGAAATCACCACAGCAGCACCTGTGACCAGGACCACAGAGTGCCAGCTCCACCAGCCAATGGCAGAAGGAGCAGTGGTGGGGAATCACATGGTGTGTTTTTTAAGATTCACAGAGTCCACCTTCAAAATACTAAGCAGCTATTACACCAAAATATATACCCCTGCATATTTTGTGATTCTAATGAGCACTAAGTCTGAGAAGGCCCCAATAGTGTTGGTATCGTATCACGAAAAGCAATAGCTTAAGAATTGCAATATTGCTTGAGATATCACAAGTGACTGGTTAATGTTTTGACATGAAAGAACTGCACCCCCTAACTTGTGATGGAGTGGTACGAAAGATTTCCTGGATTTATGTATGTGTCATGAGGATTTAGATTTCTCTTTTCTATTGATGCAAGAATGCTCAAGGCAGCTGTGGCCAGCTGAAACAATTTTTTGAATTAGACACACACTTACTCTCAAGGTGGCTACTCGTTTGTAATTTCAATGAGCAAGCATCCATCAGATTTCCCAGCAGCTGTATATTTATTTATTTTAGTCACAGTGCTGATTATCTGACCTTGTTCAGTGTTTCTAAAATTGTTTCGGCTGTTATCTGTCTTAGCTTTGACATTTTCCCTGAAGTCAGTCCTTTTCTTTCAGAAAATGTAAAACTATGCAATATTTTTGCTAATGTAAGAGACCTTTTTTAAAAACAAACAAACACATGATTACTACTTCTGCTGAAAGTGATCTAAATAAACGAAAAAACATTAATGAAGCTATGTTCTCATAGGAAACAAACACACATATCTGCCCATTTGGACTATGAGAAAGGATACATTTGGACTAGGAGAAGGCCACAGAAAGTAATGCAGTTAGAAAATCTATGTCGGGGGGGGGGGGGAATCTAGTAGAATGTGTGCATAGTAGCAACTAATTTGTTCTGTGCCTAATTTATAAAACCCTGTTTGTTCACCTCTTAATTTCTGTACTGGTTAATCCAGGCCAAGAGTTTATTTTCATTTTCTCTGAAGATTTTCTGTATTCCATGCCATCCTGCCCCACTTACACCAGAACTGTTGCACAGGAACCACGGAAATTGCTGTGGGATAACTACCCTTATATAACCAACATACAAAGGCCTTATTAATGCATTAAGGGGTTAATACCATACAGTAAGCTCTCCTACCAGGCTTAGCTATATCCACTTCCCCTCACCTTGGGAGGAACTAGGTAATAAGGCCTGTTGTTCTCTTCCAGTCTACCTGAGCTCAGTGTGTAAAGAAGTTTGAGCTGGTTGCTCCAGTTCAAACTGCATGACTTTCACCAGCCACTCTTGAGTTCCTATACCAATAATTTAGGAACTCTCACCACTTTGGAATTAAACTAAGTTTTACTGGCTGTGCAACTTTTTCTGATTTCTGTATAGAAACGTACACGAATCTGACCTTTGAAGAATTTGTAAGTAAACCTATTTTTAACGTTCCAACCGTGATAATTTCCTATGTTGGGGGAAGAAGGGAGTTTTGGAACTCACCAGGGCATATTTTAAACGTGTAACAGTCTGTATTTCCATGCTTTACTTTGCTGCATATTTTGTTATTATAAATCTCTGCTTTGGTTGGGAGTGGGGTTCTCTAACCAGAGAATACTTCACCCAAACTTTGGATCTTGGCATAATGAATTCTTTTTATAGCTATTATTTTCTTTGCACCAACAATTGCCTTATACTGAGTCAGACTGTTTAGCTCAGCATTGTCTTGGATGTCTGGCAGTGGATCTGCTGGGTTTCAGGCAGGGGACAATCTCAGCCCTACCTGGAGATGTCAGGGACTTAACTGGAGACTTTTTGGTTGCAAAGCTGATGCTCTACTGCTGAGCTATAGGTCACAAGAGAGTTGGCATAGATGCTGTTGTAGAATTTCTACAAACATTGCATTTTTGGTACCCATTGAAAACAACGCCTGCTTCTGGTTGAAACTATTTCAGTATCATCTTAAACACATGCTTGAAAAAACTTCATTATAGAAAAATATGAGACACTTTAAACTTTAGCAATGAATTTCCCCCCTAAAAAATAACAAATCTTTATTGCAAATCCGTTTGTTTTCACACTTTCCATATTGATGTTCGTTTCCCCCATTATGCTCTCCTTTGTGTTTTATAATTAGGTATTCTTCCCGTGTGCACTGTTCCTTGAAAATACTCTTCTCCAAGCCAGTAGTAACAAGAGATGTTTTTCAGTAAACGTTGGGACCTACAGGCCATTAAATCTTTGATCATGAAATGAGTGGAAACTATTGCTATAAGTCAGGTTTGGTTGTTGCCATCTGGAGGAGGGCAAAGAATTGGATTAGATCCAGATTTGCCAGATTGAAACTTCACTGAATATTTCTGCTGCAAGAGTGGAGAGTTTTCCCTGATTCTTATTTCTTCTTTTAGCTCCACCTGCTGTACCACCTAAAAATCTGTTCCAGAGGGTTGGTGGGATCATCGGGAACAAGTTGGAACAGTGTTGCTGGGGGCTACAATGGATAAAAATCAACTTTCCTTCTTGCTTCAGCAGTGAAGCTCTGCTTGGCCTCAAGACCTGCACAGCTGGAAATCTGAATTCAACCCATCATCTTGAGTTGGTGTTGATTAGATTAGATGTTTCAGATGTGCATTTGCTGTGTTGGCTCATGAGGTAGTTTTCAGAATTTGCTGACAGCTCAAGCTGCACTTTAAATGTTGAAGCAGAATCGCTGTTGAGTAATTCCATAATTGTTTGAAGGCTAACCACTGTATTTCCATACCACTTCCAGATGCAGTTATCTGCAGAAAACTACACTGGAAACTGAAAGTTGATCACTTGTGTACCAGAG